TGTGATATCATGCATCAAGGTGGGATGAGGCTGTTCAGGTGACTTTTGAGTCGACTCAAAAATCAGACGAGTGTGATATCATGCATCAAGGTGGGATGAGGCTGTTCAGGTGACTTTTGAGTCGACTCAAAAATCAGACGAGTGTGATATCATGCATCAAGGTGGGATGAAGCTGTTCATTTCAGCAGCTACATTGTGCCATCCTCTGATCAACCATGGCATCATCGAATGAACCATGACCTGACATCATCATCCTTTGCCTCTCTTCATCTCTCTTCATTTGTCTTCACCTCTCTCTACCCTCAACAGGCCGCCGGCTCTCCCCCTTCCCTCCCTACCTCCTCTCTTTCTGCATCTCCCTTCATCGCTCTTGTTTTGAGGCGCCTCTTTCTGCATCTCCCTTCATCGCTCTTGTTTTGAGGCGCCTCTTTCTGCATCTCCCTTCATCGCTCTTGTTTTGAGGCGCCTCTTTCTGCATCTCCCTTCATCGCTCTTGTTTTGAGGCGCCTCTTTCTGCATCTCCCTTCATCGCTCTTGTTTTGAGGCGCCTCTTTCTGCATCTCCCTTCATCGCTCTTGTTTTGAGGCGCCTCTTTCTGCATCTCCCTTCATCGCTCTTGTTTTGAGGCGCCTCTTTCTGCATCTCCCTTCATCGCTCTTGTTTTGAGGCGCCTCTTTCTGCATCTCCCTTCATCGCTCTTGTTTTGAGGCGCCTCTTTCTGCATCTCCCTTCATCGCTCTTGTTTTGAGGCGCCTCTTTCTGCATCTCCCTTCATCGCTCTTGTTTTGAGGCGCCTCTTTCTGCATCTCCCTTCATCGCTCTTGTTTTGAGGCGCCTCTTTCTGCATCTCCCTTCATCGCTCTTGTTTTGAGGCGCCTCTTTCTGCATCTCCCTTCATCGCTCTTGTTTTGAGGCGCCTCTTTCTGCATCTCCCTTCATCGCTCTTGTTTTGAGGCGCCTCTTTCTGCATCTCCCTTCATCGCTCTTGTTTTGAGGCGCCTCTTTCTGCATCTCCCTTCATCGCTCTTGTTTTGAGGCGCCTCTTTCTGCATCTCCCTTCATCGCTCTTGTTTTGAGGCGCCTCTTTCTGCATCTCCCTTCATCGCTCTTGTTTTGAGGCGCCTCTTTCTGCATCTCCCTTCATCGCTCTTGTTTTGAGGCGCCTCTTTCTGCATCTCCCTTCATCGCTCTTGTTTTGAGGCGCCTCTTTCTGCATCTCCCTTCATCGCTCTTGTTTTGAGGCGCCTCTTTCTGCATCTCCCTTCATCGCTCTTGTTTTGAGGCGCCTCTTTCTGCATCTCCCTTCATCGCTCTTGTTTTGAGGCGCCTCTTTCTGCATCTCCCTTCATCGCTCTTGTTTTGAGGCGCCTCTTTCTGCATCTCCCTTCATCGCTCTTGTTTTGAGGCGCCTCTTTCTGCATCTCCCTTCATCGCTCTTGTTTTGAGGCGCCTCTTTCTGCATCTCCCTTCATCGCTCTTGTTTTGAGGCGCCTCTTTCTGCATCTCCCTTCATCGCTCTTGTTTTGAGGCGCCTCTTTCTGCATCTCCCTTCATCGCTCTTGTTTTGAGGCGCCTCTTTCTGCATCTCCCTTCATCGCTCTTGTTTTGAGGCGCCTCTTTCTGCATCTCCCTTCATCGCTCTTGTTTTGAGGCGCCTCTTTCTGCATCTCCCTTCATCGCTCTTGTTTTGAGGCGCCTCTTTCTGCATCTCCCTTCATCGCTCTTGTTTTGAGGCGCCTCTTTCTGCATCTCCCTTCATCGCTCTTGTTTTGAGGCGCCTCTTTCTGCATCTCCCTTCATCGCTCTTGTTTTGAGGCGCCTCTTTCTGCATCTCCCTTCATCGCTCTTGTTTTGAGGCGCCTCTTTCTGCATCTCCCTTCATCGCTCTTGTTTTGAGGCGCCTCTTTCTGCATCTCCCTTCATCGCTCTTGTTTTGAGGCGCCTCTTTCTGCATCTCCCTTCATCGCTCTTGTTTTGAGGCGCCTCTTTCTGCATCTCCCTTCATCGCTCTTGTTTTGAGGCGCCTCTTTCTGCATCTCCCTTCATCGCTCTTGTTTTGAGGCGCCTCTTTCTGCATCTCCCTTCATCGCTCTTGTTTTGAGGCGCCTCTTTCTGCATCTCCCTTCATCGCTCTTGTTTTGAGGCGCCTCTTTCTGCATCTCCCTTCATCGCTCTTGTTTTGAGGCGCCTCTTTCTGCATCTCCCTTCATCGCTCTTGTTTTGAGGCGCCTCTTTCTGCATCTCCCTTCATCGCTCTTGTTTTGAGGCGCCTCTTTCTGCATCTCCCTTCATCGCTCTTGTTTTGAGGCGCCTCTTTCTGCATCTCCCTTCATCGCTCTTGTTTTGAGGCGCCTCTTTCTGCATCTCCCTTCATCGCTCTTGTTTTGAGGCGCCTCTTTCTGCATCTCCCTTCATCGCTCTTGTTTTGAGGCGCCTCTTTCTGCATCTCCCTTCATCGCTCTTGTTTTGAGGCGCCTCTTTCTGCATCTCCCTTCATCGCTCTTGTTTTGAGGCGCCTCTTTCTGCATCTCCCTTCATCGCTCTTGTTTTGAGGCGCCTCTTTCTGCATCTCCCTTCATCGCTCTTGTTTTGAGGCGCCTCTTTCTGCATCTCCCTTCATCGCTCTTGTTTTGAGGCGCCTCTTTCTGCATCTCCCTTCATCGCTCTTGTTTTGAGGCGCCTCTTTCTGCATCTCCCTTCATCGCTCTTGTTTTGAGGCGCCTCTTTCTGCATCTCCCTTCATCGCTCTTGTTTTGAGGCGCCTCTTTCTGCATCTCCCTTCATCGCTCTTGTTTTGAGGCGCCTCTTTCTGCATCTCCCTTCATCGCTCTTGTTTTGAGGCGCCTCTTTCTGCATCTCCCTTCATCGCTCTTGTTTTGAGGCGCCTCTTTCTGCATCTCCCTTCATCGCTCTTGTTTTGAGGCGCCTCTTTCTGCATCTCCCTTCATCGCTCTTGTTTTGAGGCGCCTCTTTCTGCATCTCCCTTCATCGCTCTTGTTTTGAGGCGCCTCTTTCTGCATCTCCCTTCATCGCTCTTGTTTTGAGGCGCCTCTTTCTGCATCTCCCTTCATCGCTCTTGTTTTGAGGCGCCTCTTTCTGCATCTCCCTTCATCGCTCTTGTTTTGAGGCGCCTCTTTCTGCATCTCCCTTCATCGCTCTTGTTTTGAGGCGCCTCTTTCTGCATCTCCCTTCATCGCTCTTGTTTTGAGGCGCCTCTTTCTGCATCTCCCTTCATCGCTCTTGTTTTGAGGCGCCTCTTTCTGCATCTCCCTTCATCGCTCTTGTTTTGAGGCGCCTCTTTCTGCATCTCCCTTCATCGCTCTTGTTTTGAGGCGCCTCTTTCTGCATCTCCCTTCATCGCTCTTGTTTTGAGGCGCCTCTTTCTGCATCTCCCTTCATCGCTCTTGTTTTGAGGCGCCTCTTTCTGCATCTCCCTTCATCGCTCTTGTTTTGAGGCGCCTCTTTCTGCATCTCCCTTCATCGCTCTTGTTTTGAGGCGCCTCTTTCTGCATCTCCCTTCATCGCTCTTGTTTTGAGGCGCCTCTTTCTGCATCTCCCTTCATCGCTCTTGTTTTGAGGCGCCTCTTTCTGCATCTCCCTTCATCGCTCTTGTTTTGAGGCGCCTCTTTCTGCATCTCCCTTCATCGCTCTTGTTTTGAGGCGCCTCTTTCTGCATCTCCCTTCATCGCTCTTGTTTTGAGGCGCCTCTTTCTGCATCTCCCTTCATCGCTCTTGTTTTGAGGCGCCTCTTTCTGCATCTCCCTTCATCGCTCTTGTTTTGAGGCGCCTCTTTCTGCATCTCCCTTCATCGCTCTTGTTTTGAGGCGCCTCTTTCTGCATCTCCCTTCATCGCTCTTGTTTTGAGGCGCCTCTTTCTGCATCTCCCTTCATCGCTCTTGTTTTGAGGCGCCTCTTTCTGCATCTCCCTTCATCGCTCTTGTTTTGAGGCGCCTCTTTCTGCATCTCCCTTCATCGCTCTTGTTTTGAGGCGCCTCTTTCTGCATCTCCCTTCATCGCTCTTGTTTTGAGGCGCCTCTTTCTGCATCTCCCTTCATCGCTCTTGTTTTGAGGCGCCTCAAAACTAGATCTCCCTTCATCGCTCTTGTTTTGAGGCGCCTCAAAACTAGATCTCCCTTCATCGCTCTTGTTTTGAGGCGCCTCAAAACTAGATCTCCCTTCATCGCTCTTGTTTTGAGGCGCCTCAAAACTAGATCTCCCTTCATCGCTCTTGTTTTGAGGCGCCTCAAAACTAGATCTCCCTTCATCGCTCTTGTTTTGAGGCGCCTCAAAACTAGATCTCCCTTCATCGCTCTTGTTTTGAGGCGCCTCAAAACTAGATCTCCCTTCATCGCTCTTGTTTTGAGGCGCCTCAAAACTAGATCTCCCTTCATCGCTCTTGTTTTGAGGCGCCTCAAAACTAGATCTCCCTTCAAACATGGCATTCATCACAGCCGAGAGCATGGCTCCATGTATGCACCCAACTCTTTTCCTCTCTCTCTCACCCCCCCCCACCCCCCCCACACATACACACACATCACCAGGCTATCGGCATTCATCACAGCCGAGAGCATGGCTCCATCCGACGGCTCTTCTCCTCCCTTCCTCCACTCTCTCCTATATCTCTCTTCACCTCTCTCCACCTCTCTCCACCTATCTACCCTCACCAGGCCATCGGCATCCATCCAGACATGGCATTCATCACAGCCGAGAGCATGGCTCCATCCGTACACCTATCTCTTTTCCTCTCACCCCCACCCCACACCCCCACATCCGCACCACCAGGCCATAGGCATTCATCCAGACATGGCATTCATCACAGCCGAGAGCATGGCTCCATCCAACAGCTCTCCTGCCTCCCCTCGCGATCGCATCTGCTGCTACGACCTGGCAGGGGCGCCCTTTTCCAGCCTGCACCCTGTCAGGCAATACACGGAGCACGAGGTGGGTGCAAGATAGAGCGGGTGTGCGTCTTGGTTCCCTCTCCTGGCTCACCTCTGCTGCTACGACCTGGCAGGAGTGCCCTTCTCCAGTCTGCTCGCCTCTTTGCTCACCCCCCTGCTCACCTCCTCACCTTCCTCCTCGCCTTTCTTCTCGCCTTCCTCCTCGCCTTCCTCCTCGCCTTCCTCCTCGCCTTTCTTCTCGCTTTCCTCCTCGCCTTCCTCCTCGCCTTCCTCCTCGCCTTTCTCCTCTCCTTCCTCCTCGCCTTCCTCCTCGCCTTCCTCCTCGCCTTTCTCCTCGCCTTCCTCCTCGCCTTCCTCCTCGCCTTCCTCATCACCTTTCTCCTCGCCTTTCTCCTCACCTTCCTCCTCGCCTTCCTCCTCGCCTTTCTCCTCGCCTTTCCCCTCGCCTTCCTCCTCACCTTCCTCCTCGCCTTCCTCCTCGCCTTCCTCCTCGCCTTCCTCCTCGCCTTTCTCCTTGCCTTTCTCCTCGCCTTCCTCCTCGCCTTCCACCTCGCCTTTCTCCTCGCCTTTCCCCTCGCCTTCCTCCTCGCTTTCCTCCTCGCCTTTCTCCTCGCCTTCCCCCTCGCCTTCCTCCTCGCCTTCCTCCTCGCCTTCCTCCTCGCCTTCCTCCTCGCCTTCCTCCTCGCCTTCCTCCTCGCCTTTCCCCTCGCCTTCCTCCTCGCCTTCCTCCTCGCCTTTCGCCTCGCCTTTCCCCTCGCCTTCCTCCTCGCTTTCCTCCTCGCCTTTCTCCTCGCCTTCCTCCTCGCCTTCCTCCTCGCCTTCCTCCTCGTCTTCCTCCTCGCCTTTCTCCTCTCCTTCCTCCTCGCCTTCCTCCTCGCCTTCCTCCTCGCCTTCCTCCTCGCCTTTCTCCTCGCCTTCCTCCTCGCCTTCCTCCTCGCCTTTCCCCTCGCCTTCCTCCTCGCCTTTCCCCTCGCCTTTCCCCTCGCCTTCCTCCTCGCTTTCATCCTCGCCTTCCCCCTCGCCTTCCCCCTCGCCTTCCTCCTCGCCTTCCTCCTCGCCTTCCTCCTCGCCTTCCTCCTCGCCTTCCTCCTCGCCTTCCTCCTCGCCTTTCCCCTCGCCTTCCTCCTCGCCTTCCTCCTCGCCTTTCCCCTCGCCTTTCCCCTCGCCTTCCTCCTCGCTTTCCTCCTCGCCTTTCTCCTCGCCTTCCTCCTCGCCTTCCTCCTCGCCTTCCTCCTCGTCTTCCTCCTCGCCTTTCTCCTCGCCTTCCTCCTCGCCTTCCTCCTCGCCTTCCTCCTCGCCTTTCTCCTCGCCTTTCCCCTCGCCTTCCTCCTCGCCTTCCTCCTCGCCTTCCTCCTCGCCTTCCTCCTCGCCTTCCTCCTCTCCTTTCTCCTCGCTCTTCTCCTCGCCTTCCTCCTCGCCTTCCACCTCGCCTTTCTCCTCGCCTTTCCCCTCGCCTTCCTCCTCGCTTTCCTCCTCGCCTTTCTCCTCGCCTTCCCCCTCGCCTTCCTCCTCGCCTTCCTCCTCGCCTTCCTCCTCGCCTTCCTCCTCGCCTTCCTCCTCGCCTTTCTCCTCGCCTTTCCTCTCGCCTTCCTCGCCTTCCTCCTCGCCTTTCCCCTCGCCTTTCCCCTCGCCTTCCTCCTCGCTTTCCTCCTCGCCTTTCTCCTCGCCTTTCTCCTCGCCTTCCTCCTCGCCTTCCTCCTCGCCTTCCTCCTCGTCTTCCTCCTCGCCTTTCTCCTCGCCTTCCTCCTCGCCTTCCTCCTCGCCTTCCTCCTCGCCTTCCTCCTCGCCTTTCTCCTCGCCTTCCTCCTCGCCTTCCTCCTCGCCTTTCCCCTCGCCTTCCTCCTCGCCTTTCTCCTCGCCTTTCCCCTCGCCTTCCTCCTCGCTTTCCTCCTCGCCTTTCTCCTCGCCTTCCCCCTCGCCTTCCTCCTCGCCTTCCTCCTCGCCTTCCTCCTCGCCTTCCTCCTCGCCTTCCTCCTCGCCTTTCTCCTCGCCTTTCCCCTCGCCTTCCTCCTCGCCTTCCTCCTCGCCTTTCGCCTCGCCTTTCCCCTCGCCTTCCTCCTCGCTTTCCTCCTCGCCTTTCTCCTCGCCTTCCTCCTCGCCTTCCTCCTCGCCTTCCTCCTCGTCTTCCTCCTCGCCTTTCTCCTCTCCTTCCTCCTCGCCTTCCTCCTCGCCTTCCTCCTCGCCTTCCTCCTCGCCTTTCTCCTCGCCTTCCTCCTCGCCTTCCTCCTCGCCTTTCCCCTCGCCTTCCTCCTTGCCTTTCTCCTCGCCTTTCCCCTCGCCTTCCTCCTCGCTTTCATCCTCGCCTTTCTCCTCGCCTTCCCCCTCGCCTTCCTCCTCGCCTTCCTCCTCGCCTTCCTCCTCGCCTTCCTCCTCGCCTTCCTCCTCGCCTTCCTCCTCGCCTTTCCCCTCGCCTTCCTCCTCGCCTTCCTCCTCGCCTTTCCCCTCGCCTTTCCCCTCGCCTTCCTCCTCGCTTTCCTGTTCGCCTTTCTCCTCGCCTTCCTCCTCGCCTTCCTCCTCGCCTTCCTCCTCGTCTTCCTCCTCGCCTTTCTCCTCGCCTTCCTCCTCGCCTTCCTCCTCGCCTTCCTCCTCGCCTTTCTCCTCGCCTTTCCCCTCGCCTCCCTCCTCGCCTTCCTCCTCGCCTTCCTCCTCGCCTTCCTCCTTGCCTTCCTCCTCGCATTTCTCCTCGCTCTTCTCCTCGCCTTCCTCCTCGCCTTCCACCTCGCCTTTCTCCTCGCCTTTCCCCTCGCCTTCCTCCTCGCTTTCCTCCTCGCCTTTCTCCTCGCCTTCCCCCTCGCCTTCCTCCTCGCCTTCCTCCTCGCCTTCCTCCTCGCCTTCCTCCTCGCCTTCCTCCTCGCCTTTCTCCTCGCCTTTCCCCTCGCCTTCCTCCTCGCCTTCCTCCTCGCCTTTCGCCTCGCCTTTCCCCTCGCCTTCCTCCTCGCTTTCCTCCTCGCCTTTCTCCTCGCCTTCCTCCTCGCCTTCCTCCTCGCCTTCCTCCTCGTCTTCCTCCTCGCCTTTCTCCTCTCCTTCCTCCTCGCCTTCCTCCTCGCCTTCCTCCTCGCCTTCCTCCTCGCCTTTCTCCTCGCCTTCCTCCTCGCCTTCCTCCTCGCCTTTCCCCTCGCCTTCCTCCTTGCCTTTCTCCTCGCCTTTCCCCTCGCCTTCCTCCTCGCTTTCATCCTCGCCTTTCTCCTCGCCTTCCCCCTCGCCTTCCTCCTCGCCTTCCTCCTCGCCTTCCTCCTCGCCTTCCTCCTCGCCTTCCTCCTCGCCTTCCTCCTCGCCTTTCCCCTCGCCTTCCTCCTCGCCTTCCTCCTCGCCTTTCCCCTCGCCTTTCCCCTCGCCTTCCTCCTCGCTTTCCTGTTCGCCTTTCTCCTCGCCTTCCTCCTCGCCTTCCTCCTCGCCTTCCTCCTCGTCTTCCTCCTCGCCTTTCTCCTCGCCTTCCTCCTCGCCTTCCTCCTCGCCTTCCTCCTCGCCTTTCTCCTCGCCTTTCCCCTCGCCTCCCTCCTCGCCTTCCTCCTCGCCTTCCTCCTCGCCTTCCTCCTTGCCTTCCTCCTCGCCTTTCTCCTCGCTCTTCTCCTCGCCTTCCTCCTCGCCTTCCACCTCGCCTTTCTCCTCGCCTTTCCCCTCGCCTTCCTCCTCGCTTTCCTCCTCGCCTTTCTCCTCGCCTTTCTCCTCGCCTTCCCCCTCGCCTTCCTCCTCGCCTTCCTCCTCGCCTTCCTCCTCGCCTTCCTCCTCGCCTTTCTCCTCGCCTTTCCCCTCGCCTTCCTCCTTGCCTTCCTCCTTGCCTTTCCCCTTGCCTTTCCCCTCGCCTTCCTCCTCGCTTTCCTCCTCGCCTTTCTCCTCGCCTTTCTCCTCGCCTTCCTCCTCGCCTTCCTCCTCGCCTTCCTCCTCGTCTTCCTCCTCGCCTTTCTCCTCGCCTTCGTCCTCGCCTTCCTCCTCGCCTTCCTCCTCGACTTCCTCCTCGCCTTTCTCCTCGCCTTCCTCCTCGCCTTCCTCCTCGCCTTTCCCCTCGCCTTCCTCCTCGCCTTACTCCTCGCCTTTCCCCTCGCCTTCCTCCTCGCTTTCCTCCTCGCCTTTCTCCTCGCCTTCCCCCTCGCCTTCCTCCTCGCCTTCCTCCTCGCCTTCCTCCTCGCCTTCCTCCTCGCCTTCCTCCTCGCCTTCCTCCTCGCCTTTCCCCTTGCCTTCCTCCTCGCCTTCCTCCTCGCCTTTCCCCTCGCCTTTCCCCTCGCCTTCCTCCTCGCTTTCCTGTTCGCCTTTCTCCTCGCCTTCCTCCTCGCCTTCCTCCTCGCCTTCCTCCTCGTCTTCCTCCTCGCCTTTCTCCTCGCCTTCCTCCTCGCCTTTCTCCTCGCCTTCCTCCTCGCCTTCCTCCTCGCCTTCCTCCTCGCCTTCCTCCTCGCCTTCCTCCTCGCCTTTCCCCTCGCCTTCCTCCTCGCCTTCCTCCTCGCCTTTCCCCTCGCCTTTCCCCTCGCCTTCCTCCTCGCTTTCCTGTTCGCCTTTCTCCTCGCCTTCCTCCTCGCCTTCCTCCTCGCCTTCCTCCTCGTCTTCCTCCTCGCCTTTCTCCTCGCCTTCCTCCTCGCCTTCCTCCTCGCCTTCCTCCTCGCCTTTCTCCTCGCCTTTCCCCTCGCCTCCCTCCTCGCCTTCCTCCTCGCCTTCCTCCTCGCCTTCCTCCTTGCCTTCCTCCTCGCCTTTCTCCTCGCTCTTCTCCTCGCCTTCCTCCTCGCCTTCCACCTCGCCTTTCTCCTCGCCTTTCCCCTCGCCTTCCTCCTCGCTTTCCTCCTCGCCTTTCTCCTCGCCTTCCCCCTCGCCTTCCTCCTCGCCTTCCTCCTCGCCTTCCTCCTCGCCTTCCTCCTCGCCTTCCTCCTCGCCTTTCTCCTCGCCTTTCCCCTCGCCTTCCTCCTCGCCTTCCTCCTCGCCTTTCGCCTCGCCTTTCCCCTCGCCTTCCTCCTCGCTTTCCTCCTCGCCTTTCTCCTCGCCTTCCTCCTCGCCTTCCTCCTCGCCTTCCTCCTCGTCTTCCTCCTCGCCTTTCTCCTCTCCTTCCTCCTCGCCTTCCTCCTCGCCTTCCTCCTCGCCTTCCTCCTCGCCTTTCTCCTCGCCTTCCTCCTCGCCTTCCTCCTCGCCTTTCCCCTCGCCTTCCTCCTTGCCTTTCTCCTCGCCTTTCCCCTCGCCTTCCTCCTCGCTTTCATCCTCGCCTTTCTCCTCGCCTTCCCCCTCGCCTTCCTCCTCGCCTTCCTCCTCGCCTTCCTCCTCGCCTTCCTCCTCGCCTTCCTCCTCGCCTTCCTCCTCGCCTTTCCCCTCGCCTTCCTCCTCGCCTTCCTCCTCGCCTTTCCCCTCGCCTTTCCCCTCGCCTTCCTCCTCGCTTTCCTGTTCGCCTTTCTCCTCGCCTTCCTCCTCGCCTTCCTCCTCGCCTTCCTCCTCGTCTTCCTCCTCGCCTTTCTCCTCGCCTTCCTCCTCGCCTTCCTCCTCGCCTTCCTCCTCGCCTTTCTCCTCGCCTTTCCCCTCGCCTCCCTCCTCGCCTTCCTCCTCGCCTTCCTCCTCGCCTTCCTCCTTGCCTTCCTCCTCGCCTTTCTCCTCGCTCTTCTCCTCGCCTTCCTCCTCGCCTTCCACCTCGCCTTTCTCCTCGCCTTTCCCCTCGCCTTCCTCCTCGCTTTCCTCCTCGCCTTTCTCCTCGCCTTTCTCCTCGCCTTCCCCCTCGCCTTCCTCCTCGCCTTCCTCCTCGCCTTCCTCCTCGCCTTCCTCCTCGCCTTTCTCCTCGCCTTTCCCCTCGCCTTCCTCCTTGCCTTCCTCCTTGCCTTTCCCCTTGCCTTTCCCCTCGCCTTCCTCCTCGCTTTCCTCCTCGCCTTTCTCCTCGCCTTTCTCCTCGCCTTCCTCCTCGCCTTCCTCCTCGCCTTCCTCCTCGTCTTCCTCCTCGCCTTTCTCCTCGCCTTCGTCCTCGCCTTCCTCCTCGCCTTCCTCCTCGACTTCCTCCTCGCCTTTCTCCTCGCCTTCCTCCTCGCCTTCCTCCTCGCCTTTCCCCTCGCCTTCCTCCTCGCCTTACTCCTCGCCTTTCCCCTCGCCTTCCTCCTCGCTTTCCTCCTCGCCTTTCTCCTCGCCTTCCCCCTCGCCTTCCTCCTCGCCTTCCTCCTCGCCTTCCTCCTCGCCTTCCTCCTCGCCTTCCTCCTCGCCTTCCTCCTCGCCTTTCCCCTTGCCTTCCTCCTCGCCTTCCTCCTCGCCTTTCCCCTCGCCTTTCCCCTCGCCTTCCTCCTCGCTTTCCTGTTCGCCTTTCTCCTCGCCTTCCTCCTCGCCTTCCTCCTCGCCTTCCTCCTCGTCTTCCTCCTCGCCTTTCTCCTCGCCTTCCTCCTCGCCTTTCTCCTCGCCTTCCTCCTCGCCTTCCTCCTCGACTTCCTCCTCGCCTTTCTCCTCGCCTTCCTCCTCGCCTTCCTCCTCGCCTTTCCCCTCGCCTTCCTCCTTGCTTTCCTCCTCGCCTTTCTCCTCGCCTTCCCCCTCGCCTTCCTCCTCGCCTTCCTCCTCGCCTTCCTCCTCGCCTTCCTCCTCGCCTTCCTCCTCGACTTCCTCCTCGCCTTTCTCCTCGCCTTCCTCCTCGCCTTCCTCCTCGCCTTTCCCCTCGCCTTCCTCCTCGCCTTCCTCCTCGCCTTTCCCCTCGCCTTCCTCCTCGCCTTTCTCCTTGCCTTTCCCCTCGCCTTCCTCCTCGCTTTCCTCCTCGCCTTTCTCCTCGCCTTCCCCCTCGCCTTCCTCCTCGCCTTCCTCCTCGCCTTCCTCCTCGCCTTCCTCCTCGCCTTCCTCCTCTCCTTTCTCCTCGCTCTTCTCCTCGCCTTCCTCCTCGCCTTCCACCTCGCCTTTCTCCTCGCCTTTCCCCTCGCCTTCCTCCTCGCTTTCCTCCTCGCCTTTCTCCTCGCCTTCCCCCTCGCCTTCCTCCTCGCCTTCCTCCTCGCCTTCCTCCTCGCCTTCCTCCTCGCCTTCCTCCTCGCCTTTCTCCTCGCCTTTCCTCTCGCCTTCCTCGCCTTCCTCCTCGCCTTTCCCCTCGCCTTTCCCCTCGCCTTCCTCCTCGCTTTCCTCCTCGCCTTTCTCCTCGCCTTTCTCCTCGCCTTCCTCCTCGCCTTCCTCCTCGCCTTCCTCCTCGTCTTCCTCCTCGCCTTTCTCCTCGCCTTCCTCCTCGCCTTCCTCCTCGCCTTCCTCCTCGTCTTCCTCCTCGCCTTTCTCCTCGCCTTCCTCCTCGCCTTCCTCCTCGCCTTCCTCCTCGCCTTTCTCCTCGCCTTTCCCCTCGCCTCCCTCCTCGCCTTCCTCCTCGCTTTCCTGTTCGCCTTTCTCCTCGCCTTCCTCCTCGCCTTCCTCCTCGCCTTCCTCCTCGTCTTCCTCCTCGCCTTTCTCCTCGCCTTCCTCCTCGCCTTTCTCCTCGCCTTCCTCCTCGCCTTCCTCCTCGACTTCCTCCTCGCCTTTCTCCTCGCCTTCCTCCTCGCCTTCCTCCTCGCCTTTCCCCTCGCCTTCCTCCTTGCTTTCCTCCTCGCCTTTCTCCTCGCCTTCCCCCTCGCCTTCCTCCTCGCCTTCCTCCTCGCCTTCCTCCTCGCCTTCCTCCTCGCCTTCCTCCTCGACTTCCTCCTCGCCTTTCTCCTCGCCTTCCTCCTCGCCTTCCTCCTCGCCTTTCCCCTCGCCTTCCTGCTCGCCTTCCTCCTCGCCTTTCCCCTCGCCTTCCTCCTCGCCTTTCTCCTTGCCTTTCCCCTCGCCTTCCTCCTCGCTTTCCTCCTCGCCTTTCTCCTCGCCTTCCCCCTCGCCTTCCTCCTCGCCTTCCTCCTCGCCTTCCTCCTCGCCTTCCTCCTCGCCTTCCTCCTCTCCTTTCTCCTCGCTCTTCTCCTCGCCTTCCTCCTCGCCTTCCACCTCGCCTTTCTCCTCGCCTTTCCCCTCGCCTTCCTCCTCGCTTTCCTCCTCGCCTTTCTCCTCGCCTTCCCCCTCGCCTTCCTCCTCGCCTTCCTCCTCGCCTTCCTCCTCGCCTTCCTCCTCGCCTTCCTCCTCGCCTTTCTCCTCGCCTTTCCTCTCGCCTTCCTCGCCTTCCTCCTCGCCTTTCCCCTCGCCTTTCCCCTCGCCTTCCTCCTCGCTTTCCTCCTCGCCTTTCTCCTCGCCTTTCTCCTCGCCTTCCTCCTCGCCTTCCTCCTCGCCTTCCTCCTCGTCTTCCTCCTCGCCTTTCTCCTCGCCTTCCTCCTCGCCTTCCTCCTCGCCTTCCTCCTCGTCTTCCTCCTCGCCTTTCTCCTCGCCTTCCTCCTCGCCTTCCTCCTCGCCTTCCTCCTCGCCTTTCTCCTCGCCTTTCTCCTCGCCTTCCTCCTCGCCTTCCTCCTCGCCTTCCTCCTCGTCTTCCTCCTCGCCTTCCTCCTCGCCTTTCCCCTCGCCTTTCCCCTCGCCTTCCTCCTCGCTTTCCTCCTCGCCTTTCTCCTCGCCTTTCTCCTCGCCTTCCTCCTCGCCTTCCTCCTCGCCTTCCTCCTCGTCTTCCTCCTCGCCTTTCTCCTCGCCTTTCTCCTCGCCTTCCTCCTCGCCTTCCTCCTCGCCTTCCTCCTCGTCTTCCTGTTCGCCTTTCTCCTCGCCTTCCTCCTCGCCTTCCTCCTCGCCTTCCTCCTCGTCTTCCTCCTCGCCTTTCTCCTCGCCTTCCTCCTCGCCTTCCTCCTCGCCTTCCTCCTCGCCTTTCTCCTCGCCTTTCCCCTCGCCTCCCTCCTCGCCTTCCTCCTCGCCTTCCTCCTCGCCTTCCTCCTTGCCTTCCTCCTCGCCTTTCTCCTCGCTCTTCTCCTCGCCTTCCTCCTCGCCTTCCACCTCGCCTTTCTCCTCGCCTTTCCCCTCGCCTTCCTCCTCGCTTTCCTCCTCGCCTTTCTCCTCGCCTTCCCCCTCGCCTTCCTCCTCGCCTTCCTCCTCGCCTTCCTCCTCGCCTTCCTCCTCGCCTTCCTCCTCGCCTTTCTCCTCGCCTTTCCCCTCGCCTTCCTCCTCGCCTTCCTCCTCGCCTTTCGCCTCGCCTTTCCCCTCGCCTTCCTCCTCGCTTTCCTCCTCGCCTTTCTCCTCGCCTTCCTCCTCGCCTTCCTCCTCGCCTTCCTCCTCGTCTTCCTCCTCGCCTTTCTCCTCTCCTTCCTCCTCGCCTTCCTCCTCGCCTTCCTCCTCGCCTTCCTCCTCGCCTTTCTCCTCGCCTTCCTCCTCGCCTTCCTCCTCGCCTTTCCCCTCGCCTTCCTCCTTGCCTTTCTCCTCGCCTTTCCCCTCGCCTTCCTCCTCGCTTTCATCCTCGCCTTTCTCCTCGCCTTCCCCCTCGCCTTCCTCCTCGCCTTCCTCCTCGCCTTCCTCCTCGCCTTCCTCCTCGCCTTCCTCCTCGCCTTCCTCCTCGCCTTTCCCCTCGCCTTCCTCCTCGCCTTCCTCCTCGCCTTTCCCCTCGCCTTTCCCCTCGCCTTCCTCCTCGCTTTCCTGTTCGCCTTTCTCCTCGCCTTCCTCCTCGCCTTCCTCCTCGCCTTCCTCCTCGTCTTCCTCCTCGCCTTTCTCCTCGCCTTCCTCCTCGCCTTCCTCCTCGCCTTCCTCCTCGCCTTTCTCCTCGCCTTTCCCCTCGCCTCCCTCCTCGCCTTCCTCCTCGCCTTCCTCCTCGCCTTCCTCCTTGCCTTCCTCCTCGCCTTTCTCCTCGCTCTTCTCCTCGCCTTCCTCCTCGCCTTCCACCTCGCCTTTCTCCTCGCCTTTCCCCTCGCCTTCCTCCTCGCTTTCCTCCTCGCCTTTCTCCTCGCCTTCCCCCTCGCCTTCCTCCTCGCCTTCCTCCTCGCCTTCCTCCTCGCCTTCCTCCTCGCCTTCCTCCTCGCCTTTCTCCTCGCCTTTCCCCTCGCCTTCCTCCTTGCCTTCCTCCTTGCCTTTCCCCTTGCCTTTCCCCTCGCCTTCCTCCTCGCTTTCCTCCTCGCCTTTCTCCTCGCCTTTCTCCTCGCCTTCCTCCTCGCCTTCCTCCTCGCCTTCCTCCTCGTCTTCCTCCTCGCCTTTCTCCTCGCCTTCGTCCTCGCCTTCCTCCTCGCCTTCCTCCTCGACTTCCTCCTCGCCTTTCTCCTCGCCTTCCTCCTCGCCTTCCTCCTCGCCTTTCCCCTCGCCTTCCTCCTCGCCTTACTCCTCGCCTTTCCCCTCGCCTTCCTCCTCGCTTTCCTCCTCGCCTTTCTCCTCGCCTTCCCCCTCGCCTTCCTCCTCGCCTTCCTCCTCGCCTTCCTCCTCGCCTTCCTCCTCGCCTTCCTCCTCGCCTTCCTCCTCGCCTTTCCCCTTGCCTTCCTCCTCGCCTTCCTCCTCGCCTTTCCCCTCGCCTTTCCCCTCGCCTTCCTCCTCGCTTTCCTGTTCGCCTTTCTCCTCGCCTTCCTCCTCGCCTTCCTCCTCGCCTTCCTCCTCGTCTTCCTCCTCGCCTTTCTCCTCGCCTTCCTCCTCGCCTTTCTCCTCGCCTTCCTCCTCGCCTTCCTCCTCGACTTCCTCCTCGCCTTTCTCCTCGCCTTCCTCCTCGCCTTCCTCCTCGCCTTTCCCCTCGCCTTCCTCCTTGCTTTCCTCCTCGCCTTTCTCCTCGCCTTCCCCCTCGCCTTCCTCCTCGCCTTCCTCCTCGCCTTCCTCCTCGCCTTCCTCCTCGCCTTCCTCCTCGACTTCCTCCTCGCCTTTCTCCTCGCCTTCCTCCTCGCCTTCCTCCTCGCCTTTCCCCTCGCCTTCCTCCTCGCCTTCCTCCTCGCCTTTCCCCTCGCCTTCCTCCTCGCCTTTCTCCTTGCCTTTCCCCTCGCCTTCCTCCTCGCTTTCCTCCTCGCCTTTCTCCTCGCCTTCCCCCTCGCCTTCCTCCTCGCCTTCCTCCTCGCCTTCCTCCTCGCCTTCCTCCTCGCCTTCCTCCTCTCCTTTCTCCTCGCTCTTCTCCTCGCCTTCCTCCTCGCCTTCCACCTCGCCTTTCTCCTCGCCTTTCCCCTCGCCTTCCTCCTCGCTTTCCTCCTCGCCTTTCTCCTCGCCTTCCCCCTCGCCTTCCTCCTCGCCTTCCTCCTCGCCTTCCTCCTCGCCTTCCTCCTCGCCTTCCTCCTCGCCTTTCTCCTCGCCTTTCCTCTCGCCTTCCTCGCCTTCCTCCTCGCCTTTCCCCTCGCCTTTCCCCTCGCCTTCCTCCTCGCTTTCCTCCTCGCCTTTCTCCTCGCCTTTCTCCTCGCCTTCCTCCTCGCCTTCCTCCTCGCCTTCCTCCTCGCCTTCCTCCTCGCCTTTCTTCTCGCTTTCCTCCTCGCCTTCCTCCTCGCCTTCCTCCTCGCCTTTCTCCTCTCCTTCCTCCTCGCCTTCCTCCTCGCCTTCCTCCTCGCCTTTCTCCTCGCCTTCCTCCTCGCCTTCCTCCTCGCCTTCCTCATCACCTTTCTCCTCGCCTTTCTCCTCACCTTCCTCCTCGCCTTCCTCCTCGCCTTTCTCCTCGCCTTTCCCCTCGCCTTCCTCCTCACCTTCCTCCTCGCCTTCCTCCTCGCCTTCCTCCTCGCCTTCCTCCTCGCCTTTCTCCTTGCCTTTCTCCTCGCCTTCCTCCTCGCCTTCCACCTCGCCTTTCTCCTCGCCTTTCCCCTCGCCTTCCTCCTCGCTTTCCTCCTCGCCTTTCTCCTCGCCTTCCCCCTCGCCTTCCTCCTCGCCTTCCTCCTCGCCTTCCTCCTCGCCTTCCTCCTCGCCTTCCTCCTCGCCTTCCTCCTCGCCTTTCCCCTCGCCTTCCTCCTCGCCTTCCTCCTCGCCTTTCGCCTCGCCTTTCCCCTCGCCTTCCTCCTCGCTTTCCTCCTCGCCTTTCTCCTCGCCTTCCTCCTCGCCTTCCTCCTCGCCTTCCTCCTCGTCTTCCTCCTCGCCTTTCTCTTCTCCTTCCTCCTCGCCTTCCTCCTCGCCTTCCTCCTCGCCTTCCTCCTCGCCTTTCTCCTCGCCTTCCTCCTCGCCTTCCTCCTCGCCTTTCCCCTCGCCTTCCTCCTCGCCTTTCCCCTCGCCTTTCCCCTCGCCTTCCTCCTCGCTTTCATCCTCGCCTTCCCCCTCGCCTTCCCCCTCGCCTTCCTCCTCGCCTTCCTCCTCGCCTTCCTCCTCGCCTTCCTCCTCGCCTTCCTCCTCGCCTTCCTCCTCGCCTTTCCCCTCGCCTTCCTCCTCGCCTTCCTCCTCGCCTTTCCCCTCGCCTTTCCCCTCGCCTTCCTCCTCGCTTTCCTCCTCGCCTTTCTCCTCGCCTTCCTCCTCGCCTTCCTCCTCGCCTTCCTCCTCGTCTTCCTCCTCGCCTTTCTCCTCGCCTTCCTCCTCGCCTTCCTCCTCGCCTTCCTCCTCGCCTTTCTCCTCGCCTTTCCCCTCGCCTTCCTCCTCGCCTTCCTCCTCGCCTTCCTCCTCGCCTTCCTCCTCGCCTTCCTCCTCTCCTTTCTCCTCGCTCTTCTCCTCGCCTTCCTCCTCGCCTTCCACCTCGCCTTTCTCCTCGCCTTTCCCCTCGCCTTCCTCCTCGCTTTCCTCCTCGCCTTTCTCCTCGCCTTCCCCCTCGCCTTCCTCCTCGCCTTCCTCCTCGCCTTCCTCCTCGCCTTCCTCCTCGCCTTCCTCCTCGCCTTTCTCCTCGCCTTTCCTCTCGCCTTCCTCGCCTTCCTCCTCGCCTTTCCCCTCGCCTTTCCCCTCGCCTTCCTCCTCGCTTTCCTCCTCGCCTTTCTCCTCGCCTTTCTCCTCGCCTTCCTCCTCGCCTTCCTCCTCGCCTTCCTCCTCGTCTTCCTCCTCGCCTTTCTCCTCGCCTTCCTCCTCGCCTTCCTCCTCGCCTTCCTCCTCGCCTTCCTCCTCGCCTTTCTCCTCGCCTTCCTCCTCGCCTTCCTCCTCGCCTTTCCCCTCGCCTTCCTCCTCGCCTTTCTCCTCGCCTTTCCCCTCGCCTTCCTCCTCGCTTTCCTCCTCGCCTTTCTCCTCGCCTTCCCCCTCGCCTTCCTCCTCGCCTTCCTCCTCGCCTTCCTCCTCGCCTTCCTCCTCGCCTTCCTCCTCGCCTTTCTCCTCGCCTTTCCCCTCGCCTTCCTCCTCGCCTTCCTCCTCGCCTTTCGCCTCGCCTTTCCCCTCGCCTTCCTCCTCGCTTTCCTCCTCGCCTTTCTCCTCGCCTTCCTCCTCGCCTTCCTCCTCGCCTTCCTCCTCGTCTTCCTCCTCGCCTTTCTCCTCTCCTTCCTCCTCGCCTTCCTCCTCGCCTTCCTCCTCGCCTTCCTCCTCGCCTTTCTCCTCGCCTTCCTCCTCGCCTTCCTCCTCGCCTTTCCCCTCGCCTTCCTCCTTGCCTTTCTCCTCGCCTTTCCCCTCGCCTTCCTCCTCGCTTTCATCCTCGCCTTTCTCCTCGCCTTCCCCCTCGCCTTCCTCCTCGCCTTCCTCCTCGCCTTCCTCCTCGCCTTCCTCCTCGCCTTCCTCCTCGCCTTCCTCCTCGCCTTTCCCCTCGCCTTCCTCCTCGCCTTCCTCCTCGCCTTTCCCCTCGCCTTTCCCCTCGCCTTCCTCCTCGCTTTCCTGTTCGCCTTTCTCCTCGCCTTCCTCCTCGCCTTCCTCCTCGCCTTCCTCCTCGTCTTCCTCCTCGCCTTTCTCCTCGCCTTCCTCCTCGCCTTCCTCCTCGCCTTCCTCCTCGCCTTTCTCCTCGCCTTTCCCCTCGCCTCCCTCCTCGCCTTCCTCCTCGCCTTCCTCCTCGCCTTCCTCCTTGCCTTCCTCCTCGCCTTTCTCCTCGCTCTTCTCCTCGCCTTCCTCCTCGCCTTCCACCTCGCCTTTCTCCTCGCCTTTCCCCTCGCCTTCCTCCTCGCTTTCCTCCTCGCCTTTCTCCTCGCCTTCCCCCTCGCCTTCCTCCTCGCCTTCCTCCTCGCCTTCCTCCTCGCCTTCCTCCTCGCCTTCCTCCTCGCCTTTCTCCTCGCCTTTCCCCTCGCCTTCCTCCTCGCCTTCCTCCTCGCCTTTCGCCTCGCCTTTCCCCTCGCCTTCCTCCTCGCTTTCCTCCTCGCCTTTCTCCTCGCCTTCCTCCTCGCCTTCCTCCTCGCCTTCCTCCTCGTCTTCCTCCTCGCCTTTCTCCTCTCCTTCCTCCTCGCCTTCCTCCTCGCCTTCCTCCTCGCCTTCCTCCTCGCCTTTCTCCTCGCCTTCCTCCTCGCCTTCCTCCTCGCCTTTCCCCTCGCCTTCCTCCTTGCCTTTCTCCTCGCCTTTCCCCTCGCCTTCCTCCTCGCTTTCATCCTCGCCTTTCTCCTCGCCTTCCCCCTCGCCTTCCTCCTCGCCTTCCTCCTCGCCTTCCTCCTCGCCTTCCTCCTCGCCTTCCTCCTCGCCTTCCTCCTCGCCTTTCCCCTCGCCTTCCTCCTCGCCTTCCTCCTCGCCTTTCCCCTCGCCTTTCCCCTCGCCTTCCTCCTCGCTTTCCTGTTCGCCTTTCTCCTCGCCTTCCTCCTCGCCTTCCTCCTCGCCTTCCTCCTCGTCTTCCTCCTCGCCTTTCTCCTCGCCTTCCTCCTCGCCTTCCTCCTCGCCTTCCTCCTCGCCTTTCTCCTCGCCTTTCCCCTCGCCTCCCTCCTCGCCTTCCTCCTCGCCTTCCTCCTCGCCTTCCTCCTTGCCTTCCTCCTCGCCTTTCTCCTCGCTCTTCTCCTCGCCTTCCTCCTCGCCTTCCACCTCGCCTTTCTCCTCGCCTTTCCCCTCGCCTTCCTCCTCGCTTTCCTCCTCGCCTTTCTCCTCGCCTTCCCCCTCGCCTTCCTCCTCGCCTTCCTCCTCGCCTTCCTCCTCGCCTTCCTCCTCGCCTTCCTCCTCGCCTTTCTCCTCGCCTTTCCCCTCGCCTTCCTCCTTGCCTTCCTCCTTGCCTTTCCCCTTGCCTTTCCCCTCGCCTTCCTCCTCGCTTTCCTCCTCGCCTTTCTCCTCGCCTTTCTCCTCGCCTTCCTCCTCGCCTTCCTCCTCGCCTTCCTCCTCGTCTTCCTCCTCGCCTTTCTCCTCGCCTTCGTCCTCGCCTTCCTCCTCGCCTTCCTCCTCGACTTCCTCCTCGCCTTTCTCCTCGCCTTCCTCCTCGCCTTCCTCCTCGCCTTTCCCCTCGCCTTCCTCCTCGCCTTACTCCTCGCCTTTCCCCTCGCCTTCCTCCTCGCTTTCCTCCTCGCCTTTCTCCTCGCCTTCCCCCTCGCCTTCCTCCTCGCCTTCCTCCTCGCCTTCCTCCTCGCCTTCCTCCTCGCCTTCCTCCTCGCCTTCCTCCTCGCCTTTCCCCTTGCCTTCCTCCTCGCCTTCCTCCTCGCCTTTCCCCTCGCCTTTCCCCTCGCCTTCCTCCTCGCTTTCCTGTTCGCCTTTCTCCTCGCCTTCCTCCTCGCCTTCCTCCTCGCCTTCCTCCTCGTCTTCCTCCTCGCCTTTCTCCTCGCCTTCCTCCTCGCCTTTCTCCTCGCCTTCCTCCTCGCCTTCCTCCTCGACTTCCTCCTCGCCTTTCTCCTCGCCTTCCTCCTCGCCTTCCTCCTCGCCTTTCCCCTCGCCTTCCTCCTTGCTTTCCTCCTCGCCTTTCTCCTCGCCTTCCCCCTCGCCTTCCTCCTCGCCTTCCTCCTCGCCTTCCTCCTCGCCTTCCTCCTCGCCTTCCTCCTCGACTTCCTCCTCGCCTTTCTCCTCGCCTTCCTCCTCGCCTTCCTCCTCGCCTTTCCCCTCGCCTTCCTCCTCGCCTTCCTCCTCGCCTTTCCCCTCGCCTTCCTCCTCGCCTTTCTCCTTGCCTTTCCCCTCGCCTTCCTCCTCGCTTTCCTCCTCGCCTTTCTCCTCGCCTTCCCCCTCGCCTTCCTCCTCGCCTTCCTCCTCGCCTTCCTCCTCGCCTTCCTCCTCGCCTTCCTCCTCGCCTTCCTCCTCGCCTTTCTCCTCGCCTTCCTCCTCGCCTTCCTCCTCGCCTTCCTCCTCGTCTTCCTCCTCGCCTTTCTCCTCGCCTTCCTCCTCGCCTTCCTCCTCGCCTTCCTCCTCGCCTTCCTCCTGGCCTTCCTCCTCGCCTTTTTCCTCGCCTTCCTCCTCGCCTTCCTCCTCGCCTTTCCCCTCGCCTTCCTCCTCGCCTTCCTCCTCGCCTTTCTCCTCGCCTTTCTCCTCGCCTTCCTCCTCGCCTTCCTCCTCGCTTTCCCCTCGCCTTCCTCCTCGCCTTTCTCCTCGCCTTCCTCCTCGCCTTTCTCCTCGCCTTTCTCCTCGCCTTCCTCCTCGCCTTCCTCCTCGCTTTCCCCTCGCCTTCCTCCTCGCCTTTCTCCTCGCCTTCCTCCTCGCCTTCCTCCTCGCCTTCCTCCTCGCCTTCCTCCTCGCCTTCCTCCTCGCATTTCTCCTCACCTTCCTCCTCGCCTTCTTCCTCGCCTTCTTCCTCGCCTTCCTCCTTGCCTTCATCCTCGCCTTCCTCCTCGCCTTCCTCCTCGCCTTCCTCCTCGCCTTCCTCCTCGCCTTCCTCCTCGCCTTCCTCCTCGCCTTCCTCCTCGCCTTCCTCCTCGCCTTTCCCCTCGCCTTCCTCCTCGCCTTCCTCCTCGCCTTTCTCCTCGCCTTTCTCCTCGCCTTTCTCCTCGCCTTCCTCCTCGCCTTCCTCCTCGCTTTCCCCTCGCCTTCCTCCTCGCCTTTCTCCTCGCCTTTCTCCTCGCCTTCCTCCTCGCCTTCCTCCTCGCCTTCCTCCTCGCCTTCCTCCTCGCCTTCCTCCTTGCCTTTCTCCTCGCCTTCCTCCTCGCCTTCCTCCTCGCCTTCCTCCTCGCCTTCCTCCTCGCCTATCTTCTAGCCTTCCTCCTCGCCTTCCTCCTCGCCTTTCCCCTCGCCTTTCCCCTCGCCTTCCCCTCGCCTTCCTCCTCGCTTTCCTCCTCGCCTTTCTCCTCGCCTTCCTCCTCGCCTTCCTCCTCGCCTTCCTCCTCGTCTTCCTCCTCTCCTTCCTCCTCGCCTTCCTCCTCGCCTTCCTCCTCGCCTTCCTCCTCGCCTTTCTCCTCGCCTTCCTCCTCGCCTTCCTCCTCACCTTCCTCCTCGCCTTCCTCCTCGCCTTCCTCCTCGCCTTCCTCCTCGCCTTCCTCCTCGCCTTCCTCCTCGCCTTCCTCCTCGCTTTCCCCTCGCCTTCCTTCTCGCCTTTCTCCTCGCCTTCCTCCTCGCCTTCCTCCTCGCCTTCCTCCTCGCCTTCCTCCTCGCCTTCCTCCTCGCCTTCCTCCTCGCCTTCCTCCTCGCCTTCCTCCTCGCCTTTCCCCTCGCCTTCCTCCTCGCCTTCCTCCTCGCCTTTCTCCTCGCCTTTCTCCTCGCCTTCCTCCTCGCCTTCCTCCTCGCTTTCCCCTCGCCTTCCTCCTCGCCTTTCTCCTCGCCTTTCTCCTCGCCTTCCTCCTCGCCTTCCTCCTCGCCTTCCTCCTCGCCTTCCTCCTCGCCTTTCTCCTCGCCTTTCCCCTCGCCTTCCTCCTCGCCTTCCTCCTCGCCTTTCCCCTCGCCTTTCCCCTCGCCTTCCTCCTCGCTTTCCTCCTCGCCTTTCTCCTCGCCTTCCTCCTCGCCTTCCTCCTCGCCTTCCTCCTGGTCTTCCTCCTCGCCTTTCTCCTCGCCTTCCTCCTCGCCTTCCTCCTCGCCTTCCTCCTGGCCTTCCTCCTCGCCTTTCTCCTCGCCTTCCTCCTCGCCTTCCTCCTCGCCTTCCTCCTCATCTTCCTCCTCTCCTTCCTCGTCTCCTTCCTCCTCGCCTTCCTCCTCGCCTTCCTCCTCGCCTTTCTCCTCGCCTTCCTCCTCGCCTTCCTCCTCACCTTCCTCCTCGCGTTCCTCCTCGCCTTCCTCCTCGCCTTTCTCCTCCCCTTCCTCCTCGCCTTCCTCCTCGCCTTCCTCCTCGCTTTCCCCTCGCCTTCCTCCTCGCCTTTCTCCTCGCCTTTCTCCTCGCCTTCCTCCTCTCCTTCCTCCTCGCCTTCCTCCTCGCTTTCCTCCTCGCCTTCCTCCTCGCCTTTCTCCTCGCCTTCCTCCTTGCCTTCCTCCTCGCATTTCTCCTCGCCTTCCTCCTCGCCTTCCTCCTCGCCTTCCTCCTCGCCTTCCTCCTCGCCTTCCTCCTCGCCTACCTCCTCGCCTACCTCCTCGCCTTTCCCCTCGCCTTTCCCCTCGCCTTCCTCCTCGCTTTCCTCCTCGCCTTTCTCCTCGCCTTCCTCCTCGCCTTCCTCCTCGCCTTCCTCCTCGCCTTCCTCCTTGCCTTTCTCCTCGCCTTTCTCCTCGCCTTCCTCCTCGCTTTCCCCTCGCCTTCCTCCTCGCCTTTCTCCTCGCCTTCCTCCTCGCCTTCCTCCTCTCCTTCCTCCTCGCCTTCCTCCTCGCCTTTCTCCTCGCCTTCCTCCTCGCCTTCCTCCTCGCCTTTCTCCTCGCCTTCCTCCTCGCCTTCCTCCTCGCATTTCTCCTTGCCTTCCTCCTCGCCTTTCTCCTCGCCTTCCTCCTCGCCTTCCTCCTTGCCTTCCTCCTCGCCTTCCTCCTCGCCTTTCTCCTCGCCTTTCCCCTCGCCTTCCTCCTCGCTTTCCTCCTCACCTTTCTCCTTGCCTTCCTCCTCGCCTTCCTCCTCGCCTTCCTCCTCGTCTTCCTCCTCGCCTTTCTCCTCTCCTTCCTCCTCGCCTTCCTCCTCGCCTTCCTCCTCGCCTTCCTCCTCGGCTTTCTCCTCGCCTTCCTCCTCGCCTTCCTCCTCGCCTTTCCCCTCGCCTTCCTCCTCGCCTTTCTCCTCGCCTTTCCCCTCGCCTTCCTCCTCGCTTTCATCCTCGCCTTTCTCCTTGCCTTCCCCCTCGCCTTCCTCCTCGCCTTCCTCCTCGCCTTCCTCCTCGCCTTCCTCCTCGCCTTCCTCCTCGCCTTCCTCCTCGCCTTTCCCCTCGCCTTCCTCCTCGCCTTCCTCCTCGCCTTTCCCCTCGCCTTTCCCCTCGCCTTCCTCCTCGCTTTCCTGTTCGCCTTTCTCCTCGCCTTCCTCCTCGCCTTCCTCCTCGCCTTCCTCCTCGCCTTTCCCCTCGCCTTCCTCCTCGCCTTTCTCCTCGCCTTTCCCCTCGCCTTCCTCCTCGCTTTCATCCTCGCCTTTCTCCTTGCCTTCCCCCTCGCCTTCCTCCTCGTCTTCCTCCTCGCCTTTCTCCTCGCCTTCCTCCTCGCCTTCCTCCTCGCCTTCCTCCTCGCCTTTCCCCTCGCCTTCCCCCTCGCCTTCCTCCTCGCCTTCCTCCTCGCCTTCCTCCTCGCCTTCCTCCTCGCCTTCCTCCTCGCCTTCCTCCTCGCCTTTCTCCTCGCCTTCCTCCTGGCCTTCCTCCTCGCCTTCCTCCTCGTCTTCCTCCTCGCCTTTCTCCTCGCCTTCCTCCTCGCCTTCCTCCTCGCCTTCCTCCTGGCCTTCCTCCTCGCCTTTTTCCTCGCCTTCCTCCTCGCCTTCCTCCTCGCCTTTCCCCTCGCCTTCCTCCTCGCCTTCCTCCTCGCCTTTCTCCTCGCCTTTCTCCTCGCCTTCCTCCTCGCTTCCTCCTCGCTTTCCTACTCGCCTTTCTCCTCGCCTTCCTCCTCGCCTTCCTCCTCGCCTTCCTCCTCGTCTTCCTCCTCTCCTTCCTCCTCGCCTTCCTCCTCACCTTCCTCCTCGCCTTCCTCCTCGCCTTTCTCCTGTTTTCCTCCCCGCCTTCCTCCTCACCTTCCTCCTCGCCTTCCTCCTCGCCTTCCTCCTCGCCTTTCTCCTCGCCTTCCACCTCGCCTTTCTCCTCGCCTTTCCCCTCGCCTTCCTCCTCGCTTTCCTCCTCGCCTTTCTCCTCACCTTCCCCCTCGCCTTCCTCCTCGCCTTCCTCCTCGCCTTCCTCCTCGCCTTCCTCCTCGCCTTCCTCCTCGCCTTTCTCCTCGCCTTTCCCCTCACCTTCCTCCTCGCCTTCCTCCTCGCCTTTCCCCTCGCCTTTCCCCTCGCCTTCCTCCTCGCTTTCCTCCTCGCCTTTCTCCTCGCCTTTCTCCTCGCCTTCCTCCTCGCCTTCCTCCTCGCCTTCCTCCTCGTCTTCCTCCTCGCCTTTCTCCTCGCCTTCCTCCTCGCCTTCCTCCTCGCCTTCCTCCTCGCCTTCCTCCTCGCTTTCCCCTCGCCTTCCTCCTCGCCTTTCTCCTCGCCTTTCTCCTCGCCTTCCTCCTCGCCTTCCTCCTCGCCTTCCTCCTCGCCTTCCTCCTCGCCTTTCTCCTCGCCTTCCTCCTCGCCTTCCTCCTCGCCTTCCTCCTCGCCTTCCTCCTCGCCTTTCTCCTCGCCTTTCCCCTCGCCTTCCTCCTCGCCTTCCTCCTCGCCTTTCCCCTTGCCTTTCCCCTCGCCTTCCTCCTCGCTTTCCTCCTCGCCTTTCTCCTCGCCTTCCTCCTCGCCTTCCTCCTCGCCTTCCTCCTCGTCTTGCTCCTCGCCTTTCTCCTCGCCTTCCTCCTCGCCTTCCTCCTCGCCTTGCTCCTCGCCTTCCTCCTCGCCTTTCTTCTCGCCTTCCTCCTCGCCTTCCTCCTCGCCTTTCCCCTCGCCTTCCTCCTCGCCTTCCTCCTCGCCTTTCTCTTCGCCTTTCTCCTCGCCTTCCTCCTCGCCTTCCTCCTCGCTTTCCCCCCGCCTTCCTCCTCGCCTTTCTCCTCGCCTTCCTCCTCGCCTTCCTCCTCTCCTTCCTCCTCGCCTTCCTCCTCGCCTTTCTCCTCGCCTTCCTCCTCGCCTTCCTCCTCGCCTTCCTCCTCGCCTTTCTCCTCGCCTTCCTTCTCGCCTTCCTCCTCGCTTTCCTCCTCGCCTTCCTCCTCGCCTTCCTCCTCGCCTTCCTCCTTGCCTTCCTCCTCGCCTTCCTCCTCGCCTTCCTCCTCGCCTTTCCCCTCGCCTTTCCCCTCGCCTTCCTCCTCGCTTACCTCCTCGCCTTTCTCTTCGCCTTCCTCCTCGCCTTCCTCCTCGCCTTCCTCCTCGTCTTCCTCCTCGCCTTTCTCCTCTCCTTCCTCCTCGCCTTCCTCCTCGCCTTCCTCCTCGCCTTCCTCCTCGCCTTTCTCCTCGCCTTCCTCCTCGCCTTCCTCCTCGCCTTTCCCCTCGCCTTCCTGTCAGAACTTGAGCTTAGAATCGATGCTATAGTAGTGAGCTCAAAGCTCTTTAAGTACATCCGGAATGAGCAAGGTAGGGATGAGGAGGGAATCAGGAGGCAATCCTAGGGAATCAAGGGTAATCCCAAGGCAATCTCCAATTGGTGGGTTGGAGATTGCTTGGAGATTACATTTGGGTTTGGTTGGGATGTGGGTGTACACCCAACCAAACACAAAGTGCAAAGTACACTAAACTAGGATATAAAAGTACAAGTACAAAATGTGAGATTGGGGCCTAACACCAACACCCCCCCTGAGGCGTCAATCGAACTCATGGCGGAGAAGGAGGAGCGCAGAGCCCCATGGCGCCAAGGAGACGATGGTGGGGAACCTTCCCAAGGGGCTTGGTGAACAGGTCAGCCAGGTTGTAGTCAGATGCCACGTATTCCACCTTCAGCTGCTCTTGTTGCACAAGGTGACGAATGAAGAAGTGCCGAAGTTCAATATGCTTGGTGCGGGTGTGATACACAGGGTCTTGAGAGATGTGGATGGTACTCTGGTTGTCACACCAGAGGGTGGGGGCTGACTGAGGGAAGCCAAGCTCTTGGAGTAGGAAGGTGAACCAACGGGCCTCCTGAGCAGCCATGGTGCCTGCGTAGAGCTCCGCCTCACAGGAGGAGAGGGAGACTGCAGACGACCTGGTGGAGCGCCAACTGACAGTTCCGCTCCCGAGGGTGAAGCAGTACCCCTGAGAGGAGCGCCGGTCGGTCTGGTCATCAGCCCAGGAGGAGTCTGTGTAACCTTCCAGGCGAGGAGGGGAGAGCCCACCGAGTGTGAGAACGTGGGACTTTGTGCCCTTAAGATAGCGCAGCACCCGCTTTGCTGCCTTCCAATGAAGATTAGTGAAGCGACCCGGGGCCACGTAACGAGAGAGAACACTGACTGGGTAGGCCAAGTCCGGTCGGGTGCACATCATGGCGTACATGAGGGACCCAACAAGTTCCGGGTATGGCTCAGAGCAGGCCTCTGGTGTGGGTACAGCAGGAGCTGTAAGGAGGTGTTGCAGCGGCAGCGGGGTGGCAACAGGTGTGCACAGCTCCATCTCAAACCGCTTGAGCACATTGTCGATGTAGAACTCCTGGGAGAGTGAGATGGTGCGAGCCTTGCGATCACGAGTGATCTCCATTCCCAGGTAGTGCTTGAGGTCACCAAGGTCTTTCATCTGGAGGGCCTTGCTCAGGGCTGCCTGGACAGAGGTCATTTGGGCCGAGTCCTTGGCAACGAGGATAAAATCATCCACGTAGACTAGGATGTAGAATGGCTCAGAATGACGACGGATGAAGAGAGTCGGGTCAGCAGTTGAGGGGTGGAAGTCCAGGGAGAGGAGGACTTCTTTCACCTTGTTGTGCCATTCGCGAGGGGCTTGTTTAAGGCCGTAGACGGGGCGATTCAGCTTCCAGACTGTGTTGGGAGGGAATTCTCCTGGGAAGCCTTCTGGTCTGTCCATGAACACTGTCTCCTTGAGACGTCCTTGTAGGAAAGCGGAGGAGGCATCCATGGATTTGATCTCAAAGTCTTCTCGAGCTGCAACATCCATGAGCGTTCGAATGGTGGGAGGTTTGGATGTGGGGGAGAAGATTAGGTCGAAGTCGCGGTACCGCTGCTGGGTGAAGCCCTTGGCTACGTAACGCGCTTTGAACACCGGTGCCTCGTCTGGGAGCTGTTTTACACGGAACAACCACTTGCCCCCGACGATGTTGACTCCTGGAGGTGGAGTCTCGTCATCGAAAGAGTGGTTGCGAGTGAATGCTGCAATCTCCGCGTCCATGGCAGCACGCCATTCGGCAGCATGAGGGCCTGAGAGAGCCTCTTGGACGGTGAGAGGGATAGGGATGGTCGGGTTCTCCGCGAGGTTGAGGGAGGGTGAGCCAGTGATATCGGGGAAGATGTGTGAGAGCTGAGGAATGACTGCATGGAGATCACACAGCTCCTCATGCCTGTCTTCTAGAAGGGTAGAGGGCACATCCCCCCCAGCAGGAGGAGGCGGTGTGATCATTGTGTATCGAAGAACCATTGCGAGTGGAAGAGCAGCGCGATGGGAGCGGGTGCCATGAGCCACCGGTGAGGAGGGCGGGGCAGGCGGTGTCGGAGAGGGTGACTTAGGAGGCTTGGGTGGGGGAATGGGCCGCCGGCGGTACGTGATCAGCTCGGGCGACTGTGGGAGAGCGGGTTCCTCTGTGGTGGGGGGAACTGGGGGAGGAGGTGGGGCCGGAGGGTGGGACCGCCGATGGTAGGTGATAGGTGCGCTCGGAGGGGGCGGCGCAGCGGGAAGTGAGGAAGGTGAGGGGGGGGGCGGAGCAGCCGCCGAAGACACCGGTGAGGCCGGGTCAGAGACCTCAGAGGGAGATGGTGGGATGGCAGGAGAGGGAGGAGGTGAGGGGGCAGGAGCAGGCGGGAGGTCGGGAGGCGCGTCAAAGTCTGCCCACACGAGGGAGGGTGGATCAGGGAGAGGGTCCCGTCCCGAAGGGGAGTAGAATGGGCGGGTCTCATCAAAGACAACGTCGCGGCTCCTGACCAACTGTTGAGTGGAGGGATTGAGGAAGAGGTAGTCAGGTGAGTCGGCGTTGTGCCCAAGGTAGATGCACGTTTGAGTCTTGGGACCGAGCTTGCCACCGTTCTGGCGTCGAGCCTGAGGGTTGAGGAGGACATAGGCGGTGCATCCCCAAACGCGAAGAGAGCGAGCAGTGGGCGTTTTCCCGAGCCAGAGTGTGGTTGGAGTGGTGTCGGGAAGGTGCGGATGGGGGTAAAGGTTGTAGAGGAGGGCGGCGTGGTAGAGAGCGTATCCCCAGAGAGAGTGTGGAGCGTTGGAGTGGCTGAGGAGGCACCGAGTGATCTGCACTAGAGTGTGGTTGCGGCTCTCAGCTATGCCGTTCTGTTGAGGGCTGTCAGGGAGGGTGAAGTTTTGCTGGATGCCTTCGGAGGAGCAGAAGGCTTTAAGCTTGTCGTTGCAAAATTCACCCCCCCCATCCGAGTGAAGGCGCTTGACCTTGAGGTCAAAGGTGGTCTGTGCCTGCTTGACCCACGCCATGATGACCTCTGGAGCCTCAGCCTTAGTGTGGAGGAGGTGAACAGAGACGTATCGTGAGTGGTCATCCACGATAACTAGGAAGTAGCGATATCCACCTTGTGCAAGAACAGGGGCAGGGCCCCAGACGTCCATGTGCACTAGGTCCAGTGGTGCCGCTGCGATTGTGGGTGAGGCAGTGTGGGGCTGTTGGCGCAGTTTGCTCTTGGTGCAATCAAGGCACGTGGGAGCGGGTGAGTCAGGTGGTGGAGGAAGTGTGGCTGGCAGGCCGAGAAGAAGTTTCTTGGAGGCCATGTCAGCAAGCGTGCGGAAGTTTGGGTGCCCTAACCGATGATGATAGAGGATGGTCGGGTTGGAGAGGCTGCGACATGTGCATGGTGTGATGGGAGCCTGTGCTTGGGTGGTTAAAACCTGTGGGAGAGGAACGCGTAGCGTGTAGAGGCCGCTGCTATTGAGGGTGAAGCGGGCCAAGACCTTGTTGGTGAGTGGGTCAATGATGTCGCAGTGGTCCTCATTCTCCGAGAAGATGGTGCGTAGCCCTGCTTTCTGAATTTCTGTTTGAGCCACTAGATTGTGGCGTAGTGAAGGCACGCACATGCCAGTGACGGTGCCGGAAGGGAAGGCTGGGCATGGGACTGTGGAGGTGCCCTTGGCTAGGGTGGTGAAGCTGGAGTCAGCTCCCAAGAGAGGGATAGGTGCTGGATAGGGTTTGAAGGAGAGTGTCTCCTTGAGCACAGTGTGAGTGGCCCCGCTGTCGAGTGTGAACTCTATGTACTGTGGTGCCTGTGATGAGTCGATGTACTGGGAAGTGGCTTCATTAATCATGGCAGTGCCAGGAAACAACAGGTTGATACGCACATCAACAGGAGCACTGTCACTAGCACTAGCCGAAGAGGGGTCCTGGACCTCAACGAGATTGGCCTTACGAGCGCGCATCCAGTTTGGCGGCTTCTTGTCAACCCCGTGGATGGCATACCACTCGTCGTCTTTCTTCTTGAAGCACGTGGCAAGGGGGTGGTTAGTGCCACCACACACTTGTCCCTTGCGGTTGCCATACTTGACGACGTAGGTGCACGGAGGAAAGCGGTTGCGCTGGAAAGGCGCCGAGGCAAGGGCTGCTGCAACACTTGCTAGGGGCATGGGAGCACGGATGGCGTATGCCTTGGCCTGAGCAGTGGAGTCTTTCTCGGCAGAGAGGAGTGCGGTGGAGACCTTAGCAAAGGTGAGGTCTTCCGCTGAGAGCGTGAGGAGCATCTTCCTCGTCACTTCATATGCCGAGGAGAGACCAACAAGAAGGGCGGCTGCAGGGGCTTGTTCGGGGAAGACTATACCCAGCTCCTTGAGTTCACCATGAATGGTCTGCACCTTGGCGATGTAATCAGCCATTCCTGAGCAGTCCTCAAGGCGGACTTGAAACATGCTGGGGATGAGAATCGCCACTCCGACCGCCGTCTTGTTCATGAACCGATCCTGGAGATACTTCCAGATGGCGTTGGAGGTAGGGTAGTTGTGGAACGTGTTGACAAGTTCGGGAGGGGTGGAGGCAATGAAGACGCTGATGATGGCAGCATCGGCCTTCTCCCACTTCCGGTACTTCTCAACAGCTTCTTCGTACGTCATCACGTCAGCATCACTTGAAGATTCGGTCGGTTCACGGGGAAGAGTGGGCTGTTTCCCCTTGCCACGGTTGAGGAGGACGTCCTTGAGGTCAAGGCCCTGCACGTCACGGCTCAGGAGGTGCTTGTCAACTCCGTAGCTCCACGCCTTGAAGTTGGAGCTAGAGCCATCGGCTTCAAGGCGGAGCGGGGTGATGGGGTTCGCCATGGTGGAAGACGAGAAAGCCATGGTGGAGACCCCTTAACTTCTCGCGCGGAGCGCCGCTCTTAAGTCACCAATAGGAACTTGAGGTTTGGGGTTTCCAAAGGAGATTTTGAAGAACCGGAGGTTTAGGGTTTACGAAGGAGAATTTGACTGAGACGCCAATTTAGTGTCAACTACCTACTAGTCCTATTCCCACACACCCCCCCACACACCACCCTCAGCTTCGCGGCTACGCTGCTGCTCGGCTGCGTTGCTGCACCTGTTCAGCTGCGGGAAAGAGGGGGGATGGGGGTAGGAGTGCAGATGCGGGGCGACGGGCGGCAGCCCGAAGATGACGCTGCGGGGCGACGGGCGGCGGCCCGACGAGAAGCTGCAGGGCGACGGGCGGCAGCCCGTCGAGGAGAAGAAGTGACGAATTGATGAAAACGAGTGTTAGGTTAGAGCGCCGACGATGCGCTTATCAGAGAAGTTTCCGTCGATGGTGACGGGAAGATTTGGCGGGAGAAATTCCGCCGATGAATGTCGCGAATCAACGGCGACGAGATTGGCGATGGCTTCCCCGAGGTTTGCGGGACAAGTATCCGCAGAGATGAGAGGATCACGATCCGCGTATGCGGTTGAGCTGCTCTGATACCATGTCAGAACTTGAGCTTAGAATCGATGCTATAGTAGTGAGCTCAAAGCTCTTTAAGTACATCCGGAATGAGCAAGGTAGGGATGAGGAGGGAATCAGGAGGCAATCCTAGGGAATCAAGGGTAATCCCAAGGCAATCTCCAATTGGTGGGTTGGAGATTGCTTGGAGATTACATTTGGGTTTGGTTGGGATGTGGGTGTACACCCAACCAAACACAAAGTGCAAAGTACACTAAACTAGGATATAAAAGTACAAGTACAAAATGTGAGATTGGGGCCTAACACCAACACTTCCTCCTCGCCTTCCTCCTCGCCTTTCTCCTCGCCTTTCTCCTCGCCTTCCTCCTCGCCTTCCTCCTCGCTTTCCCCTCGCCTTCCTCCTCGCATTTCTCCTCGCCTTCCTCCTCGCCTTCTTCCTCGCCTTCTTCCTCGCCTTCCTCCTTGCCTAGCTCCTCGCCTTCCTCCTCGCCTTCCTCCTCGCCTTCCTCCTCGCCTTCCTCCTCGCCTTTCTCCTCGCCTTCCTCCTCGCCTTCCTCCTCGCCTTCCTCCTCGCCTTTCCCCTCGCCTTCCTCCTCGCCTTTCTCCTCGCCTTTCTCCTCGCCTTTCTCCTCGTCTTCCTCCTCGCCTTCCTCCTGCCTTTCCCCTCGCCTTCCTCCTCGCCTTTCTCCTCGCCTTTCTCCTCGCCTTCCTCCTCGCCTTCCTCCTCGCCTTCCTCCTCGCCTTCCTCCTCGCCTTTCTCCTCGCCTTCCTCCTCGCCTTCCTCCTCGCCTTCCTCCTCGCCTTCCTCCTCGCCTTTCTCCTCGCCTTTCCCCTCGCCTTCCTCCTCGTCTTCCTCCTCGCCTTTCCCCTCGCCTTTCCCCTCGCCTTCCTCCTCGCTTTCCTCCTCGCCTTTCTCCTCGCCTTCCTCCTCGCCTTCCTCCTCGCCTTCCTCCTCGTCTTGCTCCTCGCCTTTCTCCTCGCCTTCCTCCTCGCCTTCCTCCTCGCCTTCCTCCTCGCCTTCCTCCTCGCCTTTCTCCTCGCCTTCCTCCTCGCCTTCCTCCTCGCCTTTCCCCTCGCCTTCCTCCTCGCCTTCCTCCTCGCCTTTCTCTTCGCCTTTCTCCTCGCCTTCCTCCTCGCCTTCCTCCTCGCTTTCCCCCCGCCTTCCTCCTCGCCTTTCTCCTCGCCTTCCTCCTCGCCTTCCTCCTCTCCTTCCTCCTCGCCTTCCTCCTCGCCTTTCTCCTCGCCTTCCTCCTCGCCTTCCTCCTCGCCTTCCTCCTCGCCTTCCTCCTCGCCTTCCTCCTCGCCTTCCTCCTCGCCTTCCTCCTCGCCTTCCTCCTCGCCTTCCTCCTCGCCTTCCTCCTTGCCTTCCTCCTCGCCTTCCTCCTCGCCTTCCTCCTCGCCTTTCCCCTCGCCTTTCCCCTCGCCTTCCTCCTCGCTTACCTCCTCGCCTTTCTCCTCGCCTTCCTCCTCGCCTTCCTCCTCGCCTTCCTCCTCGTCTTCCTCCTCGCCTTTCTCCTCGCCTTCCTCCTCGCCTTCCTCCTCGCCTTCCTCCTCGCCTTCCTCCTCGCCTTTCCCCTCGCCTTCCTCCTCGCCTTCCTCCTCGCCTTTCCCCTCGCCTTCCTCCTCGCCTTCCTCCTCGCCTTTCTCCTCGCCTTTCTCCTCGCCTTCCTCCTCGCCTTCCTCCTCGCTTTCCCCTCGCCTTCCTCCTCGCCTTTCTCCTCGCCTTCCTCCTCGCCTTCCTCCTCTCCTTCCTCCTCGCTTTCCTCCTCGCCTTTCTCCTCGCCTTCCTCCTCGCCTTCCTCCTCGCCTTCCTCCTCGCCTTCCTCCTCGCCCTCCTCCTCGCATTTCTCCTCGCCTTCCTCCTCGCCTTCCTCCTCGCCTTCCTCCTCGCCTTCCTCCTTGCCTTCCTCCTCGCCTTCCTCCTCGCCTTCCTCCTCGCCTTCCTCCTCGCCTTCCTCCTCGCCTTCCTCCTCGCCTTCCTCCTCGCATTTCTCCTCGCCTTCCTCCTCGCCTTCCTCCTCGCCTTCCTCCTCGCCTTCCTCCTCGCATTTCTCCTCGCCTTCCTCCTCGCCTTCCTCCTCGCTTTCCCCCCGCCTTCCTCCTCGCCTTTCTCCTCGCCTTCCTCCTCGCCTTCCTCCTCTCCTTCCTCTTCGCCTTCCTCCTCGCCTTTCTCCTCGCCTTCCTCCTCGCCTTCCTCCTCGCCTTCCTCCTCGCCTTCCTCCTCGCCTTCCTCCTCGCATTTCTCCTCGCCTTCCTCCTCGCCTTCCTCCTCGCCTTCCTGCTCGCCTTCCTCCTTACCTTCCTCCTCGCCTTCCTCCTCGCCTTCCTCCTCGCCTTTCCCCTCGCCTTTCCCCTCGCCTTCCTCCTCGCTTACCTCCTCGCCTTCATCCCGTTGTTCCCTGCTGCGCCCATCACAGGGTCTTATCATGTGTCTCACGGCTTCTCATATTTTCCTCCCCTTTGCCCCTCACAGGACCTGATTACGTGTCTGACCGTCTTCCCCCCCAACCCCAACCTCTTCCTCTCGCCTCTGCTAAAGCCAGCCCCACTACCAAAACCAAACCCCCTTGACCTCGTTTCCCTTCCTTTCCCCCTTTGCCCATCACAGGACCTGATCACGTGTCTCACAGTCTTCCCCCCCAACCCCAACCTCTTTCTCTCTGCCTCTCGGGACGCCACCATTCGCCTCTGGGACCGCCGCGTTTCCAACGCTGTCGGTACGTGGATGCACCACCCTTAGATTCACCCTAGTCGCATTTATTCACCCACTAATTGCCCACGAAATGGTTCCCCCTTATCACTATCCTCTCTCTTCCCACTTCCTCCCTGCTCTCCCCCTCCCTGCTGTTTCCCCCCATACTCCTCCTCTCCCCCTCCCTGCTCTTTCCCCCCATACTCCTCCTCTCCCCCTCCCTGCTCTTTCCCCCCATACTCCTCCTCTCCCACTCCCTGCTCTTTCCCCCCATACTCCTCCTCTCCTCCTCCCTGCTCTTTCCCCCCATACTCCTCCTCTCCTCCTCCCTGCTCTTTCCCCCCATACTCCTCCTCTCCTCCTCCCTGCTCTTTCCCCCCATACTCCTCCTCTCCCCCTCCCTGCTCTTTCCCCCCATAGTCCTCCTCTCCTCCTCCCTGCTCTTTCCCCCCATACTCCTCCTCTCCCCCTCCCTGCTCTTTCCCCCCATACTCCTCCTCTCCCCCTCCCTGCTCTTTCCCCCCATACTCCTCCTCTCCCCCTCCCTGCTCTTTCCCCCCATACTCCTCCTCTCCCCCTCCCTGCTCTTTCCCCCCATACTCCTCCTCTCCCACTCCCTGCTCTTTCCCCCCATACTCCTCCTCTCCTCCTCCCTGCTCTTTCCCCCCATACTCCTCCTCTCCTCCTCCCTGCTCTTTCCCCCCATACTCCTCCTCTCCTCCTCCCTGCTCTTTCCCCCCATACTCCTCCTCTCCCCCTCCCTGCTCTTTCCCCCCATAGTCCTCCTCTCCTCCTCCCTGCTCTTTCCCCCCATACTCCTCCTCTCCCCCTCCCTGCTCTTTCCCCCCATACTCCTCCTCTCCCCCTCCCTGCTCTTTCCCCCCATACTCCTCCTCTCCCCCTCCCTGCTCTTTCCCCCCATACTCCTCCTCTCCTCCTCCCTGCTCTTTCTCCCCATACTCCTCCTCTCCTCCTCCCTGCTCTTTCCCCCCATACTCCTCCTCTCCCCCTCCCTGCTCTTTCCCCCCATACTCCTCCTCTCCCCCTCCCTGCTCTTTCCCCCCATACTCCTCCTCTCCCCCTCCCTGCTCTTTCCCCCCATACTCCTCCTCTCCTCCTCCCTGCTCTTTCCCCCCATACTCCTCCTCTCCCCCTCCCTGCTCTTTCCCCCCATACTCCTCCTCTCCCCCTCCCTGCTCTTTCCCCCCATACTCCTCCTCTCCCCCTCCCTGCTCTTTCCCCCCATACTCCTCCTCTCCTCCTCCCTGCTCTTTCCCCCCATACTCCTCCTTTCCTCCTCCCTGCTCTTTCCCCCCATACTCCTCCTCTCCCCCTCCCTGCTCTTTCCCCCCATACTCCTCCTCTCCCCCTCCCTGCTCTTTCCCCCCATACTCCTCCTCTCCCCCTCCCTGCTCTTTCCCCCCATACTCCTCCTCTCCCCCTCCCTGCTCTTTCCCCCAATACTCCTCCTCTCCCCCTCCCTGCTCTTTCCCCCCATAGTCCTCCTCTCCTCCTCCCTGCTCTTTCCCCCCATACTCCTCCTCTCCCCCTCCCTGCTCTTTCCCCCCATACTCCTCCTCTCCCCCTCCCTGCTCTTTCCCCCCATACTCCTCCTCTCCCCCTCCCTGCTCTTTCCCCCCATACTCCTCCTCTCCTCCTCCCTGCTCTTTCTCCCCATACTTCTCCTCTCCTCCTCCCTGCTCTTTCCCCCCATACTCCTCCTCTCCCCCTCCCTGCTCTTTCCCCCCATACTCCTCCTCTCCCCCTCCCTGCTCTTTCCCCCCATACTCCTCCTCTCCCCCTCCCTGCTCTTTCCCCCCATACTCCTCCTCTCCTCCTCCCTGCTCTTTCCCCCCATACTCCTCCTCTCCCCCTCCCTGCTCTTTCCCCCCATACTCCTCCTCTCCCCCTCCCTGCTCTTTCCCCCCATACTCCTCCTCTCCCCCTCCCTGCTCTTTCCCCCCATACTCCTCCTCTCCTCCTCCCTGCTCTTTCCCCCCATACTCCTCCTTTCCTCCTCCCTGCTCTTTCCCCCCATACTCCTCCTCTCCCCCTCCCTGCTCTTTCCCCCCATACTCCTCCTCTCCCCCTCCCTGCTCTTTCCCCCCATACTCCTCCTCTCCCCCTCCCTGCTCTTTCCCCCCATACTCCTCCTCTCCCCCTCCCTGCTCTTTCCCCCAATACTCCTCCTCTCCCCCTCCCTGCTCTTTCCCCCCATACTCCTCCTCTCCCCCTCCCTGCTCTTTCCCCCCATACTCCTCCTCTCCCCCTCCCTGCTCTTTCCCCCCATACTCCTCCTCTCCTCCTCCCTGCTCTTTCCCCCCATACTCCTCCTCTCCTCCTCCCTGCTCTTTCCCCCCATACTCCTCCTCTCCCCCTCCCTGCTCTTTCCCCCCATAATCCTCCTCTCCTCCTCCCTGCTCTTTCCCCCCATACTCCTCCTCTCCCCCTCCCTGCTCTTTCCCCCCATACTCCTCCTCTCCTCCTCCCGCCCCCAGCTCTGCTTGGCTTCCCATCTCCCTCGGGCCGCCCCCAGGCCCATGCGGGCATGGTAACCGCATTGGACGCATGCCCTGCATCTGTTACAATCGCATCAGGAGGCATGGACGGTTACCTGAAGCTCTGGGACCTGCGCTCCCTGCACTCCCTCGGGAACTCCCCGCCGCTTGGTTCGCTGAACCTGGACGAATCCCCGATTCTGAAGCTGGCCAGTAGCATGCTGCCAGGTGTCGTCGCTGTGAGCACTGTGCGGGGGCTTTACTTGGCTGATTTGAGCGGCAGTGTGGGGCCGAGTGGAGGGGGCGGTGCCAGGCTGGCAGGGGGGTTCCAGGATGGGCGGCAGCCCGGGCGGTATCATGATATCAAGTGGGCACATGGACGGCGGCTGCTGTTTGCTGGTGGGGATGCAATGCGGGTGGATGTGTATGGGTTGCAATGATGTTTGTGGTGGCACATTGATTAGAGGAGCTGCTGTTATGTTTTCAGTGTTGACACACCATTTGGAGCAAATAGCCAAGAAATGTGAGTTGTAAAAAACCTTCGGTAGGTCTCTTAGCTAATGATGAGTACAGTAGCATCTATCATCCTATCTGAGATTAAAAAACATTCGGTTGGTCTCTTAGGGCGCGTAACTTTTTCGCTTTTCATCGTCCGGACGGAGGCCCCGTCTGGACTTTTGTAGGACTACTATATTCGTCAGGGTTCGTCTAAAAGTTCGCAAGTCCTCCCGCGACGTCGCGATCATCCGCACTAAGTCTGACACTTTTCTGTCAGTTCATCGTCCGTTCTACGCTACTGACACCGTCTGGACAGCATTTCGGACCGTCCGGAACCCCTGCAACGTCATTGGTGCGCGAGACACATTTTTCAGAATCAAATTTCCCACTCCAACTTTCAATTTGTTTGTGTGTTGTACTCACAGAAGCGCGAGCAAGAGGACTACCCGTAAGCTCCCGGATAATAGACCCCCCGGAATACAAGACCCCCGGGTCTGTATTACGGGGGTGGGTTTTTTATTTTGGCAGGTTTTCACTATACCCCCCCCTAGAGGGGTAAACATTACTAGACCCCCTTCATGGTTGTCACTAGTTTATAATGGAAATAAGATGTCTTTTCAAGTGCTTCACTAGCAAGAAAAGCTTGACACCAATGCAACCTATTCACGGTTTGCATTTCAGAGATTTAGGGGGCAACAAGGGGTGAGAACAACATAAAAATAGTCACTCATCCTCGCCTGCAACCCACTCCTCCACTTCCTCTCCCTCATAGCGGCCTGCTGCCCACCAGTCGTCTCCATCCTCACTCCACTCGTCCGCACCTCCCATCTCTGCATCTGCCTCATCCCCCTCCTCCTCCGGAGCCATCACATCCCCTTCCTCGGCAGCAGCATCCACCACATCCTCCTCCCCTGCAAGCCCTTCCTCCTCGTCCTCTGCCTCATCGTCCTTGGTAGCGGCGGGCTCAGGGGCGTGCGAGGGGTCTTCGTAGAACGGGTTGGGGTTCACCCCGTCCTCCCCCTCGTCCAGCACATCCTCCAGCACCTCCACTTCCGCCTTGTCCCGCAGGTGAGCCAGGATCAGATGATCCTCGCTCCCGTCTTCGGCACTGGAGATGCCGCAGGTGAGGAAAGCTTTCTTCACCAGCTCCTCTGGCACATCAGCCCATGACTCGACGATCCACTTCATGATCACTTCAGGGGGGGGCTTCTTCAAGTTCCCTGGAGTTCACAAGAAGAATGCACAGCAGAGATGTAAAGGCAGTGGAGTTAATGCTGACTAGTCATCTTAAAGCTCACAAATCGACCACGACTCACCTACACGTGTCGTTTGGCCGATCCCGACCTCCTCAAACCACGTGCTGTAGCGGTGGCGAACACCGCACTTGAAACTGCGGTTGATGGAGACGTCTAGCGGTTGCACCAGGGGGGTGCAACCGCCAGGGATGACGGCACGCGTCACCTTAAACATCTTCAGAGTTTGCCCCACAGATTCCGTCAGGTGCCCCTTGTACGAGTCGAAGACAAGGAGCGCTTGCTTGCGCCGCCCGCCCTCGTCCCGCAACGGCTTCAAGAAGGGGACGAGCACCTGTGTTGTCCAATCCTGGACAAGGCGCTCGTCCATCCAACCCTTCTCTTGGGCGCGGATGACGATACCTGCACACGCCACAACTGGAAATCAGTAATGGAGAAACAAGAGGAACAGAAGGAATCAACGACAGAAACACATCGGGCTCACCTGGTGGCACCACGATTCGTGGCACCGTCTTCCGCTTGAAGATGACATACGGGGGAAGCTTCAGGCCGTCAGCCGTCACTGCCAACATGACAGTGACACGCTCCTTCTCGTACCCCGCCGTCCTGACATGCACCGTGCGGGCGCCTTTCATTTCGAGGGTGCTCTCTGCCGGCATCTCCAACCAGAGCGGGGTCTGGTCAGCGTTCACGATGAGGTTGAGGGGAAAGCGATGAACCATGCGCATCTGGCGGACGAATTCCCAGAAGGACTCCACCTTTCCCTTGCAATTTGTTAAACACACAACAACACATGTGTTAGATAGCATTTTACGTAAACCGTTACGGCAAGGGGGGGTGACATGCAACTTGCTCACCGGCGGCTAGTTTTTGCCCCATCTTTGTCTTCACGCGTTGCGCTAATGACCACCGCACGTGGTAGCGAAAGGTACAACGTGCCGATGCGCGAAAATCGGCGGTAGGCTGACGGTGCTTCATGTACTGAGTTGCCCATTTGCGGAGAAGGCTCACCGACACCGCCAATCCTTTGGCACGGTGCGCCAAGAATTGGCGGTAAACCGCTTTCTCCATCAGGGGCCACTTCGCCCTACGCCCTCCACCGTTAAAACGTCGGCGACAACCATCGGCGACCTCGAGACGCTCCTTGAGTCGCCTCCACTCGCGGATTTGCTTGGGCTGCACCTTGGCGAGCTTCGCCAAGCCACGGATGCTAAGGTCAGGCTGTGACTCCAACATGGCCAGCCAGTGCAATTTCTCCTTGGCGGTGAACGCGTTACGAGAGCGTTTCGTCATCCTATGACGAGGGGAAGGAGGCGCAGCATCTAGAATCCTTCGTTTCATGCCTTGCGGGCGACTAGACTCCGGAAAAGTAGGGATCACGACTCTAGGAAGCGGCGGTCGGCGAATGCCATGGGAACTGTCGCTAGGATCGCTGGAGGAAGGTGAAGTTGTTGGCAAAACGGGCCGGGGTGAAACTCGTACTTGCGATGCTCGATTAACGTTAGTGGGACGAGGGCGCCTTGCGTGCGACATCCCTGAATCTGGAGACGTCACCATCGTGAATGATAGCTTACACCTCTAGCTACTGCTCGAAGTACTTCCTCCAGCCATCTTAAGACGACCATCCTAGAGCTACGGGCCCTAAGCGCACCACTCTGCCGAGCAGAAATCAGTTTCGTGCGTGGATGAAGAAACAGGCGGAGGAGAAGGATTGTGATGGGTGAAAGCATTGACGTGCCTCCCGTTGAACAGTAGGGGTTGCTGCACGGGCCATCGTGCAGCCCCTGCGCTCGAGCCGTGCATGTGTCAGGGTCTCGAGGTGGGATGGCACGCTGACGAGCCACAAAGCGAATCTCAATGCTGAAATGTGGTAACGTGCGATTTCGGCCAATGAGAAGGCCACAAGCTGATTCCCCTGTGTGATATGGCTACATCGCAGAAGTCGCACACATGTGCGGCCCAAACAACAGGGGAAAAAATGTCAAGCATCCTCATCAATGAGGCACTCGATTACACCTTTAAAAATCATATCAATTTAATAAGACCCGGGTACTAAACAATCTTGTGCCGTTGACAAGACCCCCCCCTATTTTTTTATGAATTTTACACAAGACCCTAGGGTCTACTATCCGGGAGATTACGGTAAGTGGTTGGAAAGTTCAAACATTATCGAGCCGCAAATGCATGCTTGCGAACTGAGCGATGTGCTGGCGAGGTGAGTTATGCTCGTAACTGTTGCGTACGAATTTCAAATTTAGAAACTGCAAAAAAGTGTGACAATTGTGGCACGGACGCTTCATCGTCCGAACCACATTCCCAACCGTCCGGACGGAGCTCCGTTCGGACGTTTTGGGGGCTCCGTCCGGACATTGGTCTAACATGGAAAAAGTTACGCGCCCTTAGCTCCTGATGAGTACACTTCCACATCCTTGTGCCTAGCATGACCATGATGCATTTCTACCAGCACAAGTTAAATTTTAAAGCACTGTACGGATCATTAGCAATGTTGACTTTGCTTATCTTGACAAGCCTCATAAATCACATGTTAGCATCAGCGTGGTACACCAGTTCCTGGTTGGGGGACGCTGAATACTTCATCAAACACCATGATTCCTACAAAATTGGGTGAGTTACGGTACAGCTGAGCTGCTGTAACACCTGCACATGAAAAGCTGGTCCCTTATGACAAGAGGAGCTGTACACTGAAAATGAAAAGACGGGCTCAACCAGGAAGGGAAAATCTGGATGGCCCTGCCTCAAAATTGGTTGACCATGGCCGGTTTAGCCAAGGAAGACTCTTACTGCTGCTGAATCCCCTTAGCAATCCGGTCAAGCTCGGTCAAAATTTCGCTGAACTCTGGTCTTTCCTTGGGCGTCTTGTCCCAGCACCTTTGAATCAGCGAGCGAAGCGATTCCGGTGGCGATTCCGGAATAGTCGGACGCGCTCCGTTAAGAGCAACAGCCACAGCAGCTTGTAGCGGGGAATAATCAGCAAACGGCACTCCCCCTGTTAAAACTTCCCACAGAACGATTCCGAAACTGTAGACGTCGGCTTTGTGGGTGACCGGCCATGGACTCGTGCCAAAGGCTTCAGGCGCCATCCATCTGTAAGTTCCGACTTCCTTGGTCATCTCCCCTCGCTCTCCTTTTAGTCTAGCCACGCCGAAATCTCCCACCACTGCGTGACCCTCCTTATCTAAGAGAATATTCGCCGATTTCAGATCGCGGTGAATCATTCCGTTCTTGTGAAGAAACGCCATGGCTTGTGCGACGTCGCGCGCGACGTTCACTGCATCGTTGAGTGACAAACTTTTGCCCTGGCGTCGCCTGAGCAGGTCGTTCAGAGTCCCCCCCTCCATGAACTTTGTAACAATGCAGATCCGTTGCCGAAAGTCGATGCAGACACCGAGGAACTTCAAAAGCTGCGGACACTGGCCGCAAGACATTAGGGTTACCACCTCCCGGCGAAACTCCGCGACATTCGCGTACGGGTCTTTACCCTCCCCTTTCAGCACTTTAACAGCGACCGTTTCTCCGTCGTACGTCCCCTTCCTGACTTCGCCTGACGCTCCGACAGCAATCACCGGTCCCATGGACAGACGAAGCGGGTCAAGAATAAAGTTACCAAGCTTCTTCTTCATCGCTCCCTTCTCGCACAGCAGCACTTCCAGCATATCCTTTCCGGACTGCGAACCCTGCTTGGAAGTGAAGCTCGGAGAAGGTGACGAAGGGACGGAGCCCGAATTGGACCTCTGACTGTTGTCTCCATCGACGAAGCTGCTGTATCTCGGACTCGCCTTGCTCATGAAATTGGACAGTGTTTCCTGGATTCCGAGGCCTTTGGGAGGTCTTTTGATAGCCGACGCAAGAACATCCTCAATCTGCTTCTTCGAGACGTGAGAAATGGACGCTCGGATGTAGAAATGACCGAGAGTTGCACCCGCGGCTGTGTCATACGTGTAAATTCCGAAAACTCGGATGCCAGATCTGTGAAACGTCGAGGAGATGTTGCTGCGACAGACATGGGTGCTGCATGCGAACGTGACCTCGGTCCGGCTGGACGATAACGAATCCTCGAGGCACGACGAGAGCGAAATACCGCCGGCCGATGAGAAGGAATCATCCGTTTCGCTCTCGTCCTCCATGAAAGCGTCAAGCTCGCCGTTGTTCACGTCCAATCGAATTGCCGGTATTCCCTCCTTCAGGCCTGATGCTTCTTTAAGCAGACCCATGTGGCTCCTCACTGCGTCGGAAGAGTAACCCATGGCTGCGTACCTGCCAGAAACGAACATAGGGAGAGATGGAAAAGTACGTTGATTAGCAGGGAATAAACGAAACAAACAAACAATCACCTACAGGACTATGACATGAACTACAGCAGATCGTGGATCGTGGAAGCAAGCACTTGTAACCTAAGACGTACCGAGGGGGGAGGGACTTGAAGTGGATCCTCAGCTGCTCTTCATCGTCCTTGCTCCAACTACTGCCGTTCAAAAGCTCGTTAATCGCTGTCTCTACCCTGCCTTCCGGCATCTCAGAACCAGGAGGAGACAGAGGGATTGCAGCTGACTTCTTGAATAACCGCGAGATCGTTAAAGCGAGAGGGTTGCTCTTCTTCTTCGCTGGTGGTGGCATTGTACTTCTAGGCGAGTTTAGTGGACTGGTCTTAATAATAGCCTGATCTTCGTTTTGTACCAACTTGGAACATGTTGGACAATTACTACCAATCCAGGAGGCCTTATGGGAGGGAGATGGCGAAAAGCGTAGAGGTGACATGCCGACCATGATTTTAGATAAAGCGCAACCACGTGGTATTATCGCCTGATGGATTTTTAGGCACGTGAAATGATATTTCTGACTGCCGAAAGGGCGTTAGGCCTAACGACAGACACATTTGGTTGTAACATAACACCTCCTAGAGAACGGAATCGCCAGAGCAGCCTTTCAAGGATCGGTTAGAGAGGGAGGCAATTAATGACGCAGGGATGGGAGGGACAGAAGCAAGGGAAGTAGGAGAAGTTGGCTCTCCCAAGGCAAGTTGCTGTCACAAGTCCGAGGGGTCCAGCAGTCGAGGAGTCGGAAATCTTAGATTCTCTAAGAGGCTTGTTAGGCTAGCTCTGCATGCGTTGCTTGTGCCTGTAACGGAAAAGGGGTTCAGGAGAAAGAGGGTTTGTGCGATCGGTGAAAGTGACTGGGCAGTGGCCTGAGAATGGATTGGGTGACAGTTGAGGGTGTGTGTGACTCACCATTCTGCGCAATGGTGCTCGTGGTGTGGAGTCCGAGTTGGTCTGGGTGGGTGGGGCTGGCTGGGCAGAAAAATACCCCAGCTCCCGCGGCAACTTGAGAGTGAGGGGCAGGGGGGAAGGGCGTTGGGGGAAGGAGGGGTGGAAAAGCGGAGGGGAGGGAACTTTTGGGCTGAGGGCGTGTGACGAAGGTGGCGAAGGTTGCGTGCGTGAGGAACAGACTCCGCCTGGAACAGGAGGCTGGCCGGAGCACATGGATAGCTAGGGTTTTGGTGGATCCCTGATTCTCTGTCCCTTCTTTCCCAAGTTCTTTCGGCCAACAGAAGGCTATCGTGGAGGTGGATTAATGCGCACGACAATCGCGAAGAGCCACAAAGCACGTGCAAGCCAGCATGGCTAACGAGGGACCAAACCAGAGGTCGCGGATGCCACGCTGGAAGGTTCAGGTACCCATGTCACATTCGTGAAGCTCACATCAGCGAGACCCTTTCAACTCCCGCTATAGCCGTGATTCGTGGATTCTCTGATTTGCGCCAAGTCAACAAGAGGAATAAGCGCGTCAAGCTGTCCCGCTGGTTACGTCACGTGGACTGGCGAAACGCGCGAACAGGTCAGCAGAAGGGATTTGCGAATGATTCCCTCGAACCAGGCCATGTTGTCTGCCATACTCATCAATAATAAAATCTAGGGATGGTGTTGGCATCATGATTTATTGCACACCAGAATTGAAATTCAGTGGCGCGCATGTGGCTCCATAATCTAGGGTGAAATATGTCAAGCTGCAGCCTTCTTATTCGTTCAAGTATGACCACGTGTATAAGGCGATAAGGTTGCACGTGGTACTTCTGACGACCCAGCCATAACTAGTGTGCTTTATGATTTGCCCGAAACATACGCTGATCCACTAACATTATTTTCCATATGCTCTTGCAAGTGGTATAAATCAAAAATCAGATCTATTTCGCTCATAGATGCCTTGCGACAAGCTTGTGGATGGTGGCCTCTGTAATCTGCCAACTAAGAGGCCACCATCCATCCAGAAATTCAATTCAAGCTCCAGACACTATTCACCTTGCTAGAAAGGCATAGTGTCAGCATAGCGGAAACGTGTTTGTAGAAAAAAACAATATCAAAATCTTGCATTGTTCATTAAAAAATAAAATGATGACACAATGATGATGATGAAGTGACACACCAGAGTATATATGCATCCAACTACCCTTCCAGAATCACCCCATTCACACCAATAATGGTGTACCAATAATTGTATCCTCTATCCTCCAATAATGTTGACCTCCAATAATTATGGCCCTACATTAATTGTGACAATTATTGTAGGACCTGGAGGCTTATAAAGAGGACTACACTAAAACCGAACAGCAAACTGGTATACCGTATTCGTTATACTGTATTCAGATTTCCAACACTCCCCCTTGCTGTAAAATTTAGCGAATCCGTTTTCCTTGGAGGATGGGATGATTGAGGTGGTGCACCACCACAAGGTAGGGGTGCGCCCAAACCAAGCTAGGGTTTGGTGTTGGCCAAGCTGCTTGTCACTGTAGCACCTTTCCCCTCCCAACCTTTGGGCTTTTCAAACTCCAACCAAACCACATTCCTTCACGTTTTCCAATCCCTCCTTTCAAGCTCGACTTTCCAGATCAAGATTTAGAGAGTAGTGGTTGCTGCCGAGGGATTCGTAGCAGCTCCATGACGAAATCTCCTCAAACCATGGCGAAGTGTGTGTATCGTTATGGCGGAATGCCATTAGCGTCCGTCGAATTTTCAAAACCGTAGACTTGACTGACATGCGATTATCACCGCTGCTGACTGTCGCACGCCTACTGTGCGACGACGCGAAACCACAGCGGATGCGCGTCTTCGACGACTGCAGAACTGCATTGGCAGGTGCACTCTTCGCGCGATAGAAGCGACGACTTGGCGTTCGTCAGCGGCCGGCCGACGATCTGCTGCGCGCCTACTGCATCATTTTCCTTTCCGCGCCTGCTGCATCTTCGTAGGCCTTTCTCCCCATGCGTTGGCAATCATGCAAAGTTTGCTCAAACTTCACCCCTATGATGCTCCCCATATACTCCAACAGATACACGGTAGCAGTCGGAGTTGCTGAACTTCATCAGCTGGAGAGTTGCGCATGCCGACGCACTCCAAACACTCTCCACACCCCACCCCCCCCCCACCCATGTGCTTGTATCCGTGCAAGAGATCTCGTACACAGTTACAAGCGCATGAGTGAGTGTGGAGTTAGGGGATGCTCTGTTGTGCAGCACAGCTCGAGGTGGCCGCACAGGTGAGTACAACACCAGAATCCTTGACTTGATTGCCATAACCAGCCAGTAGATTGCAGGTGAGATGCTGCTTGCTTGGCTTGTCCACCTCATTTCCCACATCCTTTCCAAAATGGAAACACCAGTCACAGGTACGCCATCAGCTGTACCTCCGCTTCCTTCAACTGCACTGACTTCATCAGCTGCATCAGCTCCGAGTAAGTCCTCTTTTGCAGAGCCTGCTCCTTCGCCTCCATGACCTTCAGTATTCGTTGTCCTTTGCCCCTCTCCCCCTGAAGTCCACACCACAACGTGGGGTGAGACTTCATCCTTTGTATAACCATGTGCCGGCTTCCGCACGATGCATGCTTTGTATGCCATGCGGTATGTCACAGACGCATGTGCAGACTGGCCACTCAAGTGCAGACTGGCCACTCAAGTGCATCCCAGGTGGGCGGAAAACCATGCTCCCATGTGTGTCCAACTGCACACCAGGTGTGCGGGAAAGTGTAACCCCTTCATGACCATGCTTCTTTGATGACGCATTATCACGGGACTGACCAGGATCACATGCGGATGTAAGTGCATGCTCATACTGCACCACGAGCACTCCATCCACGTTCTTGCCAAGTCCATTCCGCACATACTCCTCTCCATCAGTCATGGTGACCTTCGTGTCTCCATTGGCAATTGTATTGATGTGCGCTCCCTTTTTCAGTAGCTGACAATAGGAGAGCAGGTTGCTCTTCAGGCCAGGTATGTTAAGGACTTCAGTGTAGCGAACTGTTGTCCTATCAGGAGCAGTTGCTCTCATCGTTCCCGTCATCTTGCTACTCAGATGGCTCCCATCAGCAAGCTCCACATACACAGGTTCGTCCAGCTCGTATAACTCCTCAAACTAGCAGGTATCCGAAGTCATGTGCTGGCTACATCCACTGTCCAGCATCCACAGTGACGCTCCAGCTGGTCGTAAGTCAACTTGTTTCGATCGCACCACCGCTATGCATGTGATGGTGCGCTTGCTGTCTCCTTCACTTGCCCCTTGCTATTTTGACGCATTGTTGTCACGCTTGGGGCTGCGACTCCTTCATTGAGAGAACGAACGGCTGTTGCTAGTGTGCAGTTTTGTCCTTCCGCTGGTATGCGGTTTTCACCCTGATGGTGACCAGCCAGGGGGTGCTTTCGTACACTTGAAGAAGGGATGGCTTGGCTCCTTGCAGCACCAACACACAAGAGATGAGCGACTTGCATCTCTATCCTTGCCATGCGTTTTCCTTCCAATGGACCCCTCCTTCCCGCTATTGCCCTTAACAGTTGGAGAAGGTGAACGGTCTCCACGTGCTTGTCCAGCCATGCGAGGTGGACGCCAGTCACGGTTATCCTTCGTGATGAGGTCGTGATACCTCTGCTCCTGTATCGTCATCCGCTGCAACGTGAAACTGTTCGTCACGTTGTGTAACATTGTTGGGTGTCTCATCTCCTCCCAATGCGCCGGTAGTCCGGTGAGCAGATTTAAGGTGAATGTGTCCTCATCCACCATCTTCCCCGCGAGTCTCAACTTGTCCCGGATTGCCGTTGCGCGGTTCACATACTCCTCCACCCTCTTTTGACTCCCCATTTTTAGGTTGTCCAGCTGTTTCAAGAGAGAGACCTTCGCCACCGAATCTTTGGCCTGGTAAGTATCCATTAAGTACCCCCATGCTTCAT